AAAAATGTGTATTTTGTTCCGTGTATAGCTCAACAGAATTCGCAATCGAATTTAAGCTTGCGAGTAGACTTGAGAAGATTAGAAATCTTTTACTACTTCCTAGGTTTTACAATTGTACATTATTTAACCTAATTGACGAACTTAAAACTACGCAATTATAATCCTTAAACCATGGTATTTAATACGGAACAAGAAATTTTTCAATTTCAAGGTAGATTGTTAAAATTATCCCATTCATCCCTGACTACCAATACAAAGATGGATGTAAATGTATTCCTTCCCCCTCAGGCATTGGAAACATCGTCTTCAAAGACTCCAGTCTTGGTGTATTTGTCAGGATTAACTTGCACACCTAGCAATGCTTCGGAGAAGTCTTTTTTGCAATACTTTGGTACTAAATATGGGTTTGCTGTTGTGTTTCCAGATACCTCACCAAGAGGTGCTGGCATTACAGGCGAAGACGAGTCATATGACTTTGGCACTGGTGCCGGATTTTATGTTGATGCTACGGAAGAGCCATGGCTGAAAAATTATAATATGTATTCTTATGTTCATAAGGAATTATTAACCGAATTGGCTAAACAGTTTTCTCAATTAGATTTCGAAAACAAAATTTCGATCCTTGGCCATTCAATGGGAGGATATGGTGCTTTGACAGGTTTCTTTAAGAATCCAGGTAAGTATAAATCGGTTTCTGCCTTTGCACCAATCTCAAACCCTCTGAATTGTCCTTGGGGAGAAAAAGCTTTCGGTAACTACTTAGGAAAAGATAAGCAAGCCTGGTATGAATACGATCCAACACATTTAATCAAAAATTATTCGGACAGTAACCAGCCTGATATATTAATACACCAAGGATCAAAGGATGGATTTTACTACAAAGATCATCAATTACAACCTGAAAACTTTGTAAAGGCTGCCAAAGAAGCGGGATATAAGGGTGATATTGATTTGAGAATTGTAGATGGTTATGATCATCTGTACTTTTTCATTAGTAGTTTTGTTGAAGACCATGCTAAGCATCACGCTAAATATTTGGGTTTATTAGGCTAGGATAAAGTACATGATATATAGCTCTATGTATTTAATAAAAGATTTATGACGATATATTATGAAAGAATTTATAACCCTTCTTTGAATTTAGAGTCCCAAGCAACACACCACTTGATTTTATTTTCATTCGATTTGTTAACATCCTTCACAATTTTAATTAACTTGTAACACATCTTAGTAATATCCTCCGAATTCAGTACACTCTCTTCATCAACCTCTTTACTCATCATCAAATCGACAACAAGTGTATCTATTTTATTAACAAGTAGACGCTGAACATCGTATATATTGTTGATTATATCGCCAGACGTAACAGAAGGTAATGATCTGGTTACTGATGTTAATAATAGTTTGATTAACTTAATTTTCGATAACCACAACTGTGAAAACTCAATTAAATTTTCCTTTCCTTCTTTGTTTCCATTTACTTTATCCGAGGTTTCATTTGTTGGAGGTACTTCTTCCTCTTCACTTTCATCATCACTAAAGCCAAATGGATCATCATCCATATCGAAATCGTCAGGGTTCTCGGCCCATTCTTCGAACTCATCTAATCCATCTTCTATCAAAATTATGCTTTGTTTTATTTTTTTAGACAATACGCCAAGTTCTCCGTCCTTAACTAACTTGGACAATGCATCACAATTTGACCATATCTTTCCGACAGAGACTAATCTTCCATCGATTTCATTTTCGCTGTGGGACGCTGGGGCTTGAGTTTTAGATCCTTCACTATTATTTAATTCCATGGTCGACAATTCATCTACAAAATGACTGTTAGATTCTATAAGCAATCTAACGCTGTTCAAGATCTCCTTATAAAACATGTCTGATATTATTTTGCTTTTCAACTGGCTTATAATTGAAATTATTAATACCAAACTTTCAGATAATTTCTGCAATGTATTAAATGCTGCATCTGTTGACTTCATAAGAGTTTCAGGTTTGAATACAATCCCAACCTTTGTCGTATGAGCTCTAATTAGCTTTGCTAATTTGTCTAATTCTTCTAATGGATTTGTAACTTCTGCAGCCTTTATTTCTGAGAGCGAAGTATTAGAGCTCTCAAGACATACCAGCCAATATTGCAAAGCTTCTTTAAAAGACTGAATTAACTTCTTTAAATCAGATCTATCCTTTACCATCCTTAATCTTCTAAGATAATAAGATAAATTTAGACTACAGTCTTCTATATCGTGTATTTTACATTCAGATGATTTTAAAAAAATGAGTTATATACACTACCATTCTTAGCTCATGATAGCTATGATCTACTCTAGTAATTGAATCACCAGTCGTCATCATCATCATCGTCATCACTTCCAGCAACCTTGTCTTTCCTTTTATTAAGGGCTGAAGCTAATGCATCTGCTAAACTAGCCGGTTGGCCAGTTCCGGGAGGTGCACCAGAACTTGGAACACTTGGTGATTCACCTTTCGCTTCCAGTATTAATACACTAGGCTTTTCAAGCTGAGACTTATCAGTTTTCTTAAGTGATCCAAGCCCAGAACCTCTAATTGATGCCAAAAGAGCATCTCTTGAAGGATCAACTGATGGCAATGGCGCGGTCTCATCCATATTTGAAGGTGGTAAAGGAGGTGGTGGAGGGGCACCACCAATAGCAGTAGGTGGTAAAGGAGGTGGTGGAGGGGCACCACCAGTACCAGTAGGTGGTAAAGGAGGTGGTGGAGGAGCACCACCAGTAGCAGTAGGTGGTAAAGGAGGGGGAGGGGGTGCACCACCTGTAGCATTAGGTGGTAAAGGAGCAGACGGTTGTGCACCACCTGTAGACTGTGGTAGACGAGGGGGTGGAGGAGGATGAGAAGCTCCGGTGGAAGCAGGAGGTATAGGTTGTTGTGGGCGTTGGCTGTAGGTCGAAGATTGACGAGATGGTGGTGCCTGATTATGTGTAGGTGGGAGTGGAGGTGGATTGACCGCATTTTGATGCGAAAATGCTCCTGGCTGTTGACCTTGCGGGCCAGTAACATTGGTTCTAGCAGCCCTTGGAGGTGGAGGTGGAGGAGCATTAGCTCTAGCAGCTCTTGGTGGTGGCGGTGGTGGTGGAGCACCTGTTCTTTGAGGAGCAACCAGAGTTGTACCTGCTCTTGGAGGAGGAGGAGGAATACCTGCTGAAGAATTTTGATTAGATCTCGATGGAGGAGGTGGTGGTACAGGTCTTGCTCCTTGAGGAAGTGCTGGAGGAGCATTATGTGACTGCTGAGGTGGTGGTTGTGTGAACTGTTGTGGAGGTTGCATTCCTGGCCCTTGATTCGGTTGATTTGGTTGCGACATGGAGTAACCGGGAACTGGTGGCGCAACCGCGGTAGCTGGAGGTAACCTAAACTTCGGTTTCGATTCTGCCTCTTCAGCAGGGGAAGGAGATGGTGATGGACTATGCGAAGCATCTGTTGCGGAAGCATAGTTAGATGCTGGAGGCGCAGAACTTTCACCTGCTGTTTGAAAGTTGAAATCATCAGTTGATGAATTAGCTGATGGACCTGGCGATTTAGCCGGAGGTGGAGGTGGGGGTGGAGCCTTCTTGTTCTTCAAAGACGAAGAAGACGAAATCCTCGTCGAAGGCTCTGGTACAAATTCATGTTTTTTCTGTAATTTTCGAGGAATTGGAGGCTCTAATCCAACTAGCGGTCCTCCTTGTTGTGCAATGTAACTTTTAATAAAATCTCTGTTATCCGCAATCATATCTTCTGTGATGCCTGCAGCTTCCAACTCCGAGTATAAAGACCTCCATTCTGGCGGTGGAACATCATCGTAGTATAAGACACCTTTTGCTCTCCGGGACCGCTGTGCCGTATTAACATCCATGTATTCTCCCCTTGGTCCTGGCATATTATGGCCCAGGGAGGCTGGGTTAGATTCCTTTAACGCAATTGCATTTTTGTTATTAACCGTTTGCTTTGATCCGTGCTTCTGGCGTCCAGTAACACGCTTATAAAAATGGGAGGCGTCATTGGTGTCCTCGAATAATAATCCTACCAAACAATCCTCGATTTCAAAAGTATGAAAAAACTTCCTATCCTGATAGTATTCAAAGTCAATGTACAATTCTTGATCCCATAAAACACCCCTATGTCCCAAAATATCAACCAACTTCAAAAAAAACGTATGTCCCACCAAATCATCTACCAAAACTATAGCACCTAATAATTCTGTATATTTCCACTCTGTTGGATCAGGGTAAGCAATATATAATCTTGCTACAGTAGCATCAATAATCTTATTATTAGCCTTGGGAATGACTCTTTTAATCTTTTCCTTATCGGCTTTAGTCAAAATACCCATTGTAAGTTTCCTGTTATTGGTTTCCTCTCTAATTGGCCTTTATAATAGACGCCATAACGGTTAACAGAAGGTTGACTATCTGTTAAACGATATGTAACCTGTAAAATCCCTGATATTAATCATATTTACAGGTTAAGCAAATTTTGATAATTTTTTTTTTTGCTCATGTCAAAAGCGTCTATAGATATAGAATAACGTCCATTAAATTTAAGAGTATTAATTAGAATCAATATGTCAGGTCGTCAAGGAGGCAAACAAAAGCCATTAAAGAATCCAAAGAAGAAGCAACAAGACGAAGATGAAGAAGACGTTGCTTACAAGGCTAAGCTTAAGGCTGACGCTCAAGCTAAGAAAGATATGGCCAACAAAGCCAAGAAAGGTGGCCCATTAGTCGGTGGTGGTATCAAGAAGAGTGGTAAGAAATAAACTACTGAATAATTGGATGTGAAAGAAGATTGGCAAGTACATATAATTTTGATGTAAGTATATGTAATTGTTCCGAACATTTAATGTGTAGTACATACAGGCAAACTTAAGTAAACATTTTGATATTTTGAATTTATTGTAGGAAGAAGATATTGTAATACGAGTTGTATTCGTGGGGGGAGGTTATTTGGTAATGGTGGTCTTTTAACACCCAATGTGAATGAAAAAAATAAAGACGACCTCGGTGAGGGTCGAACTCACGATCTTGAGATTAACAGTCTCACGCCTTAGCCAACTTGGCCACGAAGTCGTACTTTAGTGTGGAGAAAGCTAGAAGTTAACAAGAGTACTTTGCGCTTCATTGGTCATATTTGGGCTGAAGTGATCAAATTAGACTGTTTGATTGTATGCAATTATACTACGAACGATAATGCAATATAATTAATGAGATAAATACTGTCTACTTGGTGTGGTGTTGATGTTTAGGTATTGTAGGTGGTGGATAAACAAAAAAGCGGTTTTTTTTGGGTAGAGTATCTTTGCTTATTGATCAATGGGCTGCTTAACATCTACTCTCATCAGTGGTTGGAGAAGCAATGGGTTATTAGAAAGCCATGTAACCCAGCTTATAGTTACAGTGGTTTAGAGATATAAATGTCGTACGATTATTGCAAGTTAATACGACATTCAGAATTTGGCACGACATTTGTACTAGAACAAAATTTTTCAATTCGCTGATCATGAAAAGCATTCAAGCACATTAGCACTATCATATACAAAACATAAGGGATGCCATCGTTACAGAAATTCCATGCTAACGTTGCACGTCACGTTAAGCTGATGGACAAAAATTTGTGTGCCAATTTAATCCGTCATGAATATATTGTTACAGGTAGAACAAAGGCCAAGAGATCACAAAGGAAGATCGAACGTTTCTTGAGTAGAGCCGTTAGTGAAAACAAGCAGATGTCGGAAAAGGATGAAGAATTCAAACTTAAGAATAATAAAGCATTTTCTTTCTTACAACCTCCAGATAGACAAGAAGTCGGTTCGAAAGTGATCAATGACTTAGTGAATAGATACCCAAAGAGAACACACGGGTTCACCCGTATTATAAAGTTGGAACCAAGATTAGGTGAAGATAAGGCACCAATGTCTGTTTTAGAATTGGTGGATTCTGAATACGAAATAAAATTTTGGTTCACAGCTAAGATTGTTGCCAGATTGGAATTACAAGGATTGGAATTGGATGATTTGACTAAACATACCGTTACTAAACTAACTCAGTTCCGTGTCAATGGTGAAGATAAGTTCCGTGAAGCAATTGAAACTGCCAAAGTTGAATTTTTCAAATATGATCCCGAATCTGGCGAAGTCACCGACTCTGACATGAAAGAAAAATTAAATAACTTACCAAGAAACTTAGAATATAATGGTGGTTCTATGTCTGGTAAATTGTTAATGTCCAAGAAGTTCAATACCATTCCTAGACCAGAAGCCAAAAAGGTTGAGCTTCCAAAATCTCCATTCTTGTCATCCTAAATTTCATTTTAAAATATTTGTAATGAATAATTGTATATAGAATATAATCCTCCCTCTATTTATTTGTATGGAGATATGATTTAATGTATATTTGAACATTAAGTGGTTATGTTGTAGCATTATATATATTGTGTAACACGAATGAGCATATAAGTAGTCTCACGCACTTGAAGAAAGTATTAACTTTTATCATACACATATCTAATGTTGTTTTCAAATAATAAGATACATGCGGACGGTAAACTTGCATTGATTGTTGGCGCTTCACAAGGACTTGGTGCTGATTTAGCATTGAAGCTTTACCAGCAAAATTGTTCGGTTATACTTGTTGCAAGAACAGAAACCAAATTGGTAGCTCAAATAAAAAGAATTCAAAGTTCCAACCCTGAAAATAATGCTTCGTTAAGTTATAAATGTTGTGATGCCTCGAATTATGAAGATTGTGTAAAACTATGGAATGATTTGATTGTGGATCAGAAACAAGATCCAGACTTCATATTTTGTTGTGCTGGATCATCAATTCCTAAATTGTTCAGCGATTTGACAGCTAAGGATTTTGCGATTGGCATTAATACAAACTACAGTACTTCTTTAAATATAACACATACTGGGTTCAAACAAGTACTTGGCCAGTTTTCCAATCTTTCATGCGACCAATTCAAAAAACGTCATGTTATTTTTGTTTCTTCTGTTGTAAGCTTTTATCCATTTATTGGATACAGTCAATATGCACCATTAAAAAGTGCTATACAATCTCTTTCCACTATATTACGTCAAGAGATGGGGCCTTTTAATTATCGAGTTTCGTGTGTATTCCCTGGTAATTTTCAAAGTGAAGGATATGAAGAAGAACAAAAGACCAAACCTTCAATTACCAAATCGATTGAAGGTTCAAGTAAGCCAATATCAGGGGAAGATTGTGCAGATATAATACTTACCCAATTGAATAGAGGATATGACACAGTTACCACAGATTTTATTGGATGGTTACTAGGGTGCTCGGTTCTAGGTGTCTTACCTAGATCGTGGGGCTTCTTTCAAATAATTGTCTCGTTTATATTCCTGATTATTGCTCCAATTGCAAACTGGGTAGTTTATAAAGATGTGCTCAAGTTTTTTAAAACTAGTACGAGTGAAGTGGAAGAATATGAAATCGTCACTACCGACGGTAACAAGAAAACCCTCTGATTACATTTATATCAATAACTTCAGTATATATTTAAATTACACATATTTTATGACTCGATTCTATCTAAACAATAAACTTCATTTTTTCTCTACTACAGAAGCAGCGACTTTATCCGTTAATTCATTGAATGTTTTGTCAGCTTTAATCCCCCATTGGTACCAATTAATTCCATACATCCAATTAACCATTTTGATTATTTCATCGTTCCAAATATCTTTACAAGTTTCCGCTGTATTCAAACGAGTGATCGAGTTATGCTGGTTACTGATTGGAATTACTTCTCTCGTAATATCTCTGTCTGTGAGAATTCTATTATTTATTATGTAGTCTGAAGCTTCCAAGTGAGTTGAGACGAATTGCAGGTTTTTACGGAAATATTCTCCAGTATAATAAGTTAAAGCAGAAGTTAATAAAACTCCACCTAAGAATCCATGAATTCTTCCTCCCATTTTTATTTGTTTAGTGTTTTAACAGTACAATTATGGCTACTATTCTTTAATTCATGTTTTCCAATCATGTTGAGTCTATAAAGTCGGATGTCGAAAAATGTCGCATCCTTCAATTATATGGTTACTACTTGATCTAGAGTTCCGAAACTACTTACCTAAGTGGTTCATATATATTGCAGAGTATTAGTAAGAATGGTTAATATATACATGTAATTATTGGGAAGACCAATTATGGTTCGGCCTTTTGTATTGTTATCTCACAATTGCTCTTCGCTAACATAAGCTTCTTGAATTGTTTTACCAAGTGCATTTCTTAAGAATGGGAATACTTCAATCTTATGTAAGACTACGTTAGCACCACTATTTCTCAATTCTTGGACTTCTTCAATGGCTTCTTCAGTGTCACGCAACAAGAATGGCAATTCTTCAACTACACCATTTAATGGAGTTTCGAATTCTTCCGGCATTTGAGGGTTTTGGGTCAAATATCTCCTTAACTTCAAATTGGCAACATATGATAATCCTTCAACGAATTTTACATTGATATCTTCTTTCAAATTATAGTCCTCTAATTGCGGTTGAATCCCGAAGAATGCGTACTGCAACCTGACCAATTTTTCATTAAATGATACAATCTCAGAAGAATCCGCATTGATATAGCTTTCTTCAAAGTTTGATAAATATTCCTTTTGGTTATCAGTGAAGGTCTGAACTCTTTCATATGCAACTTGTCTCTCTATTAAGGCTTGTTTAATTCTTTTCTGTGTTAACGTCAATTTATCATCAAGATCATTATGAGCATGTGTTGATCTTTCGTTAAAGGAATCAGCCAATCTAACCTCTCTGGCTAAGATGTTACGTTCCTTGAGAATCAAATACCATAATTTGTGTAAATCTTCGAAGGACTTACGACGTAATTCTGGTAAACCCCATGGACGTGATTGGATATCCAAATCGACAGTTTCACGGAAGCAAGTCTCTGATTTGTTTCCGTCTGGGAAAAAAGCCCACAATGGGTGATCTGGAGAAACATCAAAATTCTTGTGAGTTGGAACGATAGGTTCTCTTAATTTTATTGACTTCAAATCTGTGAATTTCAAAGGCTTATTTCTAGCCAAATATCTTGAGCTCCCCAGAAGGGATCTTATCGAAAGACGAGAAGCCATCTTTATATGATTAGTATATTACTGGAGTGTCAACCTTATAATAGTTTGTCTATATAGAGCTGATGAAAAATTTTGGTTGTAGACATTTTCGAGTTTTTTCAACATGCGACATTTATACGACATTAGTTTTTTCATACTATACGGTATTCAACACCAATATATTATAATTTATTTCCATTGCAAAGACAAGTAACTAAAGAGTCAATAATGTCAACTGTAAGGACAGAACAACAACAACAAGAACCACTTGACTTAGTTCGTTATCAGTTAGACGAATTGGTTTTGGTCAAATTAAGAGGTGCTCGTGAAATGAAAGGTAAATTGCAAGGATACGATTCCCACTGTAACATGGTATTAAGCGACGCAGTTGAATATATATACGATGTACCAGAAGGGCAAGAACCAGTCACTAAGAATACGGATATGGTTTTTGTAAGAGGAGATTCTGTGATTTTGATTAGTCCTGTCAACTAAGAAATAGAAATATAACCAACGATATAAATCTGCCTACCTATAAACTTAGTATAATGAAGTTCGATATTGAGTGGACATCCATCTGTATAATATGTTGAAAACTCTGTGGAGTTTTTAGATCTATAGTAATATATATTATTAAAAAGGTTAATTATGTAATTCGTACAACTTCTATGATTCCATCTCTTCGTCAGAAATATCCACAGAATCTTCAAATTTCTTCAAAGTTTCTTTAATGATGTCCAATTTTCTTGCATTATTACTCCATCTTTCCTTGGATTCTGCACCATGCTCGATGACATCCTTTATGTTAATAATTAAATTTTCAATCATTCGATCATATTCATCTACACTTGTAAGTGACGTAGCAGTATCAACAGTAGCAGACTTTGACACATCATAAATGTATTTATTTTCTTCCAAAAGATGAAAGGTTCTCCCATTTCGTAAATGTTCATCGATGTAACGGGTTATATTCTTTGGTTGATTGGTATCTATGATGTTATCGGGATCGTCGTCATTGCCTATATTTTTCAACTGATTCAATTTAGTGTCCACATCACTAAATAACGTTTTCATATCAGCGGAATGGAATATTAAAGACTGCACGTCTATATCCTTGCTATTTTCGTCTGGTTCGTTTATACCATCGCTCACTATCCTATTCATTCTTTTAGCGGTTCGACTATTAAGCCCATTTTCAAAACTCTTAAGTAACAATCTCATCTTATCCAATAATGGCTTCTGAACATTTTTTAAAGTGTCTATTTCTGATTCTAAGTCAGTTTTTCTCGCTAATAATGCATCATATTGTAAGTTAAGTTCTTCGATATATGGTGGTGGAATATTCTGTTTGATATCGAGATTCAGATTTAAATTTTGTAAATGGATCTTATATATTTCACAGACCTTGTCAAAATCATACAGCAATTGCTGAATTTTGAATTTATTTGAATCGGATACCAATCCCTCTTTTGATTCCGTTATTTCTTGGGAAATTGATTTTGTTAATTCAAATATGTCTTGTCTGATTTTTAAGTACTGTTGCGCTATTTTATCATAATTTTTTAGGTAGTTAGATATAACCTCATCAATGAGGTCCTGCTGTTTATTTGTAATTAATACCATGATATACAGCTTTATATATTTAATTAAACTAAATTCAAACTTCTATTATATTTTGAAACATAATATTTCAGCTATAAATTTAAATACTGTATATTAGCTTACTATAATTATTGTGGATTTGCGCCAAGTGCCCACCCTAAACCAGATACAAATAAATTAGATAGCTTTTCACTAGCCTGTGTTGTAGTATTTGAGGCATCATTCATAATGTCATTAGCTAAAGTAGCCATACGTTCAGGAACCGCGTCATTCGTAGAAGATAAGCCCTTGGTGTAGTAATCTTGTTGCAGATTTATGTACCAGTCTTCGATTTGGCTATTAATACTTTCCCATTGTGTTATTATGAGTCTACTATTGTCAATAGAAGTATCTGATGGTTTAGTGAATTTGAGGGTTTTGGATAATATTTCTCTCTGCTTTATTAATATATCAATCTTATCGTTTTGAGGAGAATGAGATTCATTAAACCATTCGGGGGAAATAAATTTACCAACTTGATAAAACGTGAGCCAAAAGTCATTCAAGTTTTTGTTCAGGTCAACCGAATAATGATCAAGTAGTTCATCAGATTGTCTATATGCAAATTGAAAATTGTTATCAACTAATGCTGACTCTATGCAAATGGATTTCAATTTGTTGAAATAGAAAGTAGGCTCTGAGTGGTTATCGTTGAAGAATATGAGGAGATCGTTCAAAATTTTGTACAACTTTTCGAATGCCAAGTACGATTTTGGGTTCTGTTCTAGAATGGTAGAAATTAACGCCATCGGTGACCGTTTTTGTTCGTCCAAATCAAGACCATCCATCAGGGAGACGGAGCCAAATTGGTTGATTAGGTCAGAAGGAACAAAAGGGGACCCCTTTTCAATAACAATCTTAAAGTTCTTGATATTGGACACAGCTTTAAATAAATGCTTTATTTTTATGATTTCATCTCTATTATTAGATGATAATTGTTCATCAGTCGAAATTTTATCAAATAGTTCAATACTTTGAGAAGCTTCATGTAATCTTCCGATTTTGTTATTAAAGTTCGACGCTTTATTAAATGATTCCCAAAACTTTTTCAATATTATAGAAAATAAGGCATCAACAGAGATGGACAACTCTCCCTTCTCATAGAAGTCACCGACTACATCAAATAGATTATTGAATAAAAATCGATCAATAATAAGCTTATTTATAGATTCGTTATTAGCCTCATCTTTTGCAATAAATGAATCCGTGAATAAGCGAGCAGATGATAAAATCATGGTCCAGTTATTACTATTGAGATTGGTCATTATTTTAGCTACCTCTCGCTCACCAGATGAGAAATCGGACGCAGTTGAATACTTTAATTTCAAAAACTCAAGAATTGTAAATTTATTTGTAGGGTATAATCTCTCACAAGTTACAATAGCTTCGTTAAGAAAACCAATCGATGAAGGACTAGGATTGAATAATTTTGCAAATGGGTTTGAAGGATCATTCATAAATGCATCAAGATCAGATGAGTTATCCAAAGAATCAAAGTCTATTTTATCTATAGTATAGTCAATTTCTTCACTATCCAGAGACCCCACTCTTTCCTTGATTATGTCTAAACTATCCTTTATGGAATCATATATTTTTAACATTTCTATCGATGAGACCTTTTCAGCTGTCTCATAAAATATTGCGTAATAATAGCATGAACCTAAAAAGAATCTTAGAATATTCTCATAGTTTGAAATATCTAGAACATCATTCTTATAATCTTTAAAAACTATAATGGATCGTATTGCATTATTCCATATTTTATATTTCTTTGAAGGCTCTTGAACATTCCAATCCCCTCTAAAGTATAGCCATTCTAATAATGGTTTAAAATCATAGCCATGATACACAACTAACGGCATAATGACCTTAGAAATCCAATTGTTAACAGACAATTTTTCACTATAAGCTGGCAGATTCAAAGGTTCAATAAGGATATGCAACTTTTCATTGAAGGATTCCGACTTTAAAAATTGAAAAAGATCTAATAATGAATTGCTATTAAGTGACCCATAATTGTCCCAGTAGTACTTGAAGGGGATTATAATGCCTCGATACCATTTATCAAATGGAGCATATCCTTCTAATATCTCAAATAATGGATTTAAAGCCCCTACCTCAGTGCAGTACTTCGATAAGAATAAAGCCTTGGCTTGAACAAACTGGAAGAGCAAGTCATTGTTTGACTGGTTAGCGGTTACTATATATCCATACTGTTCACATTGTAATCTATTATCCATAGCCAAATCATACGCTGCTTGAACCAACAAACTATCATCTAACGACAAGATAGCACTGTCGTCTATTTTGAACCGACTAGAGACCCAATTGGCAAATTCTTCTAAGTCTTCGTACAACCCTTCAGATGCATTTAAACTTCCATCATCGTGGGAATTTGCGTAATTCACAACGCCCTGTGCAAACCCTGCAATATTTTCGATTGAAATATATGATCGAGTTGGATATATGAGCAATAAGCCTAGTATATTATGAAGATTTGTGTATGTATGGGGTTTTCCAACACCCATGTCTGAACCCAAGGAATTAAAGACATTGGATAAGTCATCAACATCAACATTTGTAGTAGATGAAAGCAAATGGACGATACTAATGTATATCTTAGCATCAGCGATTAGTACATTATTATCATCATTCATAATCAGTTATTTGTTGAGATCAATTTATCAACATTTATAATTCAGATTTCGTATCAGTTTTTCAAGACTTCAAAGCTTCGCGTCAATATATATATTTAATGGAACTATTTACTTAATACAACAATTAATGCATAACCGTTGCAACTGAATCTTATGATAATAGAGACTACTACTGACATATAATCTTTTTTAACAGTATTTTATTTTATGTCTCGTCGTATTTTTGTATTGCTGGCGTCATATTCAAATAATTGGCTCATTCGTGGCTATTCTACTTACAAGCAATCCAAAAACATCATCTCCAATAACAACATCCCCAGTATGTCTGCTAACTGTGCAGATTATAGCAATAGAAATCACAATAATAATATAATACATAATGATAACCGAAATGTTCATTCTATACAAATTCCTATAGACAAGAAGAGGCATGAAATGCTGGATACAGTTGCAGGGATTGATTTTTCATCTTCATTCAGTGATGATACTAGCATGAAGGAACTAGAGGATGAATATTTAGAAGACGACGATATGGAACTGTCGGTTGCGTTTTCTGACGACGAAGCGCTTTTACAAATGCTTGGTTCTCGTACGTTTCATGCACCACCGTTGAAGAAAGATGATAATATTGATTTAGTATGCAACAATTATAATGCTGAGAGAACTGTATTGTCTCCAGAAAATTCACGGATAAATATCATGGATTGCTCTTCTCCCAAGCACAAGAGAGTCAAACCTGAACCAGTTGTTACAAATCCTGTGGAATATCCAATAAAGCACTCTATACCCGAAACAATTGTTACTATTCCTGCGGAACATCCAGTAAAACACTCCATACTGCCAAAAAGACTGACCACTGAGGTTACAGAACCATTTTCCAACACGACGAATCAATTACGATCATTCTCCACATCTTCTGTTAGATCGAAAAAATTGGAAAACATATATCCTACTATTCAACTAGCAACCCAAAAGGCTTTTAACATAGAAGATGACTCGGAGATTAAAAAATCAAACGCAATAAAATCAACTGACACTGTTAAAAGTGTCAAACCAATAGTATTATCAGGTGAACAAGAGTATGTTTTACAATTGGCAACAGGTGGTCAATCGCTCTTCTATACTGGTTCAGCTGGTACTGGTAAATCCGTATTATTGAGGTCGATCATTAAATCGTTAAAACAGAAACATGAAAAGGGACATGTGGCAGTTACTGCATCTACTGGATTAGCTGCCTGCAATATTGGAGGTATTACCTTACATAGTTTTGCAGGTGTCGGTTTAGGCGATGGGACTGTCAGTGCATTAATGAAAAAGATAAGAAGGAATAAAAAAGCTTATTTTAGGTGGTGTCTGGTCAAAGTTCTAATTATTGATGAAATTTCAATGATAGACGGTATATTTTTAAACAAATTAGATTCTATTTCTAAAACCTTAAGAAAGAATAACAAGCCGTTTGGCGGCATACAATTGATCGTATGTGGTGATTTTTATCAGCTACCGCCAGTAAATAAAATAAAACCTACAAACCAAATGAGTCTTAATGGACAAAACATTGTTGAGGAATCAATATTTGCATTTGAAAGTCAAGCATGGAAAGATACAATTAAGTGTACAATTATACTCAAGGAAGTTTTCCGACAAAAGGGTGATCAAAGGTTTATAGACATGTTGAATGATATGCGTAATGGTAAAGTTAACAATGAAACTATTGCAGAGTTCAAAAGGCTAAGTCGTAGATTGGATAATCCAGACGGCATCGAACCAGCCGAATTATTTTCAACAAGGTACGAAGTTGAAAACGCAAACAATACGAGACTTAATTTATTGAAAGGAGAATCACAGATTTTTAAGGCTATAGATTCAGGTTCATTACCTACAGAACAAAGACAAACCGTTTTAAATAACTTCTTAGCACCTCAGAAGCTCTTCTTAAAAAAAAATGCACAAGTGATGTGTATCAAGAATTTTGATGAAACATTAGTTAATGGTTCATTAGGACAGGTCGTAAATTTTATGGATCGAGATACATACATGCATTATAATTTGATGAAAGAAAATCCTGAAGCAACAATCAGTGAAATAGAACGTGAATTTAAAAAGAACAAGGAGAAGAAGAAAATTGTTGATGAATTAGAGGCAGAACATAAACCTTTATCTTTAAATGATTCCATTTTCGACTTTTTAGAAGATATAGAAATAATGGAGGGTCTGCACGATGTTGAATTAGATGTTCATGAATTAGCATTCAGAACGAATAAAGAAAGAAAAGTTGATTTTATTAAGGCCCTTCATCAAAATTCTAGTAAGCTGAAATATCCTCTCGTAAGGTTCTTACTTCCAGATGGCTATAATACTAGGGAAGTTTTGGTAGAACCCGAACAATGGACGATTGAAGATGAGAATGAAAACGTTTTGGCCCGTCGGATACAATTGCCCTTAATACTTGCATGGTCTTTGTCAATTCATAAATCTCAAGGTCAAACATTACCAAAGGTGAAAGTGGATTTGAAGAGAGTTTTTGAAAAAGGACAAGCATATGTGGCTTTATCAAGAGCTGTATCGCGAAATGGTTTACAGGTTTTGAACTTCAACAAGGATAAGATTATGGCACACCCTAAGGTCAACAAGTTCTATGAAAGTTTGTCCTCAACAGAAGAACTCGCGGTGACCACAAATGATTTTGCAAGACCACATTTGTTAGAACCAAAAGAAAAAAGGCATAAAGAACGAATTATGATATCATGAGTTATTTTTTAAAATAGCTATATTCTGTATAGGAATTTATAGAGTTAGAATATACCTAAAATCAAAATTTTAAATTCGAATAATATATACATTTTATAATACAAGGAGTCTATTTATATACATGTTTGTTTATGACATTTCTCATTCTTTGATAAAATGATTTATCAATACCATAAACAAGTTCAGTCGTTGCAGGATGTTCTTCACAAAGTTTACTCAAATTTATCCTATCCTGTAAGTTATTATAGAATATAATTTGACTTAATCGCTGAAAATCGTTTGATATTCTAGTTTTGAGAATTTTGCTATCATTCATATTAAACGCATCCAACACAAACAATAAGTTCTTTACATTCGAATGCGACAGCGAGGACAATTTGGATAAGTAAAAAGAGGATAAGTCACTTACAGGGTCATCGATACCAGCGATTTCATCGACGGTCAGATCTTTCGAGCTGAAGGCAAGTTGTGGCAACATTGATTCCATCCCGATTACTATCAAATTTGTCAAACCACCGATGCTCTGTCCAATTAATTGATCAGGATGTACAATGAGATTGGTCCTAATATCATACTCCTTTGGTGACTGCTTTACAAAGAAGTTCAATAAAGTAAGGTAGTCAAAATTTGGTCTATCAGTCCGAAATTCATCAGTATTAAGGCATGTAAACTTATCAGGAGACGACTTATCATTGCTTAGCTCATCTGAAAGTGATTCCAAGTTGACAGAGGGGGGTATGGTAATTAATATTGGATCCGTATTAAGTGGATATTCCATCCTAAATCTCAGAATAGTTGCTCTCGTTATTTCGGTTACAACCGCTTGATTATTAATGAACCCCTTGTCTTTCTTTGATATTGAGGATGTGGATAACATTCGGGATTTTAAGAAGCTTTTTAAAAGATTCTTTATATTATACCCAGAATTCTCTATATCATTCTCTAACACTGATAGTGTCTTTTCTTTGTCAGGTATATTCTTAATAATGTTAATATCTCTCAATGAGACTCTGTTAGAATTCTTTTTCATATTTCTTGCTTCAACAAAGTGTGTTTGGATTTTGTTGATTGAAGAACTAGTTTCATTTTCTGATGCTTCATTCGACGTATCTATTATTTTATTATCGGAATTAAATGACCCAACAGAAACAATCTTTCTTTCTTGTTTTCTATAAAATCTTTTTGAATCATCAAATCGAACCAACTTTTCAATAAAATTGACTTGGGAGTCTTCTTGTTTTTGATCATTTCTTGTTACTTTCTCCAACAAATATTTACTATATTCTTTTTGCAATCTATCATCATTTCTTGACACATTGTGTATTTTCTGAAGTTCTTTCATAATCGACTCATCAAAAGCTTTTTTATACTTCTTGTTAGACAACTGTAAAAGTATTTGCTGATAGCTATGTTTTGGGTGAAAGATAAAACAGTACTGAATAGGCTTATAAAGAACCTTACGTTTAACCTTAATTAACTTTTTAAGCAAACTTTCATCTGGTCTGGAATTTGTCGAATTGTGGCTAAACAAATGTTCTACATTAATTGAGACATTACTAGTAGATAAAGTGTTATCTTCAAGAACAAACTTGGCATGGTCAAATTTGTTATTATCGAATGCTTCTTTATTGGCATTTCTATGTATCCCTTCGACATATTTCAACCTGCGAATTAAGTGGGAAGAATAATATTCAACCTGAGATGTTTGCAATTCACGGATAATCTTTTCAATCTTGTTGAGATATTTCAGCTTCTTGCCACTTTTTACTAAATTTGCATTACTAATGGTAGAAATATTTGTTGTGTTAAGTAGAAAATCCGTCTCATCAATAGCAAAGAATCGAACTTCATTCAAGTTTTCTTTCGTTATGTTATCTATGGACTTCTCATCATTCATTATTTCGTAAAGTTTACTGGGTGTCGTTATTAATATTTGCGGAATATTGGACGAATATTCAGAATTGTTGGATGTACACAAGAATTTAGTTGTTCCATCTGAATACAAAAATTTCACACTTAATGGCTTTCTCGTTACAGAATAATCATTATCGCTTCCATCGACAAGTAGTTGATCTGGGCAACACATTTCCGGGATATCTTTCGTAAGCTCTTTAGTATAATACTCATACTTGCCAATTAGTAGGTCTGTCGGAGCCAATATAATAGAATCGACAGACTGATAAGATCTTGAATTCTTCAAAGATCCAAAAGTTGGTACTTTCGATAATGTATGATTTAATGCATAAGTAAGTAACGCTAAACTCTTCCCAGTTTGGGAAGCACCTCTATGAATTAAGCTGTGTTCAGAATTTAATACAGACAATAAGGTTCTTTGATCATGAGTTGGAGACACGTTGTAATCTGGAGCTGAGGTAATGCTCCTATCGTCAGGACGTAAAAGACTATTCAACTTTTCTTGAAAAAAAGGTAAAATTCCAAATGATGTGAAGTCTGTAACATCATCTGAAGGATCAAACTTCAAGCTGGCAACGCTGTCAAGGTTGAGACGTTTCTTTTGTACTTGTTCAGCTTGGACAGATGCGTTATTATGGACTATTTGTATATTACGCCTATGGACAAAAGGATTCCTCAAATACGCCACTCTCCCACGAAATCCATTCCTTAGCAATCTCTTTCGAGCAGTCGGTATATACATGGATAAGTTGACCTATTTGCACTTAATAGGAATTTTGATACTTGAAGTTCTTCTCATCTGAAAAATATGTAGCTTAAATTTATATACAGATCCCACTATAACTTCAACAATGCCATGAAATTTTAAATAAATATGAATAAATAGTATATATGCTAATATGACTCTAAATAGAGCTCCTTCTATATAATGCCTTTCTTTCTTCACCATTTCTGATTCTCGACCTGTCGATCATACCAGCAATTGGCGGAATTTTACCAGTTTGCTCCCACCTAGTGAGTAAGTTATCTGCATACGCCATTCCAACATGATAAATTTCATCGAATTTAGCAAAGTCTAGAGTAGCGTAGTCATCAATTGGAGGCCTTAAATAGATAACGCCAGGAGTCTTTTTTGCTAACTCTAACGCATTGACACTTGCAACATACGCTAGTCTTAATTGTATATCCATCATATTTGGTACGTTTGGATGTCTTGAAAAAGGGTTCCATCTGTTGAATAGTACCCAAAATCCAGATAAAGTATCACCGTAGTTCATTGGAGTTCTGTCATCAACAGAGCCAACATCTACAGCAATGATATATTTTGCACCTTTTTTCTTCATTTCCGTGACAGGCAAATTATCTAAATAACCACCATCCAATAACATGCTTCCGCCGTACGTTATGGGTGGTAATAAACCCGCCAAGGACATTGATGCTCTAATAAATCTCCACAGAAAACCACTTTCATGAATATCCATAGTCGAATTTGTGATATTTGTAGAATTACAAAAGTATCTAATCCAAAAATCTTCAATTTCGCTTGATCCAAAAATCTTCCAAATACCCCTATTGAATTCGTATCCTGTAATATACGATGTCACTGGATATGTCAAATCTAACACCATTCTCCACCAGGAAGATACTCTCTTGGCAAATCTCTTAGCTCTACCATAGATAGAAACAATGTTGTAATCCTTTGCATATAATCCGCCGACAAATGATCCAATTGAAGTGCCGCCTATCAAATCAATAGGAATACCGTGTTTTTCTAACGCCATTACCACACCTACATGAGAAATACCTCTGGACCCACCTCCGCCTAGTACCAAGCCAACACTTTCATTAGACAATATTCTTGCTAATCGCAAAAAGTCGTTCTTATGGGCTTGTACTGTTTTATAAGAATGAGTTCTGCGACTCAAACGATTGTTGAATTTATTCAATGATAAAATTGCCTTTGTTTTAACATTTTCAAGTCTAGACTTAATATTAGGATTAGTTCTACTACTTATTTTTGCAGCGATATTCTTAATAATGCTGGTTTTTCGTCCCTGTTGCACATTATTATCCCTCGCAATTTCCATTTGAATATGATGGTGTCCTTGCACCCATATACGATTTTTAAGCCAGATACTAGTCGAGCCAGGTTCAACATATTTATCGGCATGAATTAGGCACAAATCAGTTCTTGCTGTTGTCTTCAACTTCATAAGCAACCTTTCGTATTCACCAATATTAGTAGCCACATCGTCATCGTCCGCATCTGCCAATAACAATATACAATCACCCTGCGAAATACATGTAGAAGTCCAATTTGATTTTAATGGAGTATCACAAACATAAACAATTGTTTGATATTCTTCTTCTAAGTATGCAAAATAGCCCGACAACTTCAACTGTGCCAATCTTTCGTCAAAAGCATGACGCCCAAGATGAGTCAAAGTTGATGCCTGATCTAATGCGATAACATTACGCCCAATATTTTTCAAAGCCAGAACTAATTTATCAGCAAAATCTCTAACGGGTAGCCCACTAACTGTTGGTAAAATTGTAATTGTCTTATAGTCGTTTGAAATATGAGAATCTGTATTTGTTACAATGAGAGGAACATTACTGCTTAAGGTACTGGGGATCCCAATATTATCTTTCTTCGCCACTTTATTAGCGACAATTCTCGAAACCTTCACCATAATAGAAGGATTCCGTAACGAAAGCATTTCAAAAAGAGTTCTCGGAATCCTAGCTGTTTCTGAATCTCTAACTGCAATTAATGAATTGGTTCTTCTGGACGCAGTTAATACTTCAACTTCACCAATTGTTTCTCCATGACCATATTCTCCTAGAATAGTAATATCATCTTTTTTCTTCCGAGACTTATAACTAAGCGACTCATCAATCAAATTATTATTATAGTCATGTATATCTGTGTTATCATCAGGGTTTACTTCAGAGCTTTTGTTATGGTTATATCTAACAACCCTAAACCTACCACTCAAAACAATATGGAAACCATTTGCCAAGTCTCCTTGAGAACATAATACGTCACCAGCGGGAATATGGCACCACTCCAACGCATAGTCAATAGTTAAAATCTGACTTGATAATAAGCTCTTCAATTTTGAAGCAACGGGCAATTGTAAGAAGTAAAATTTATCTAATAATTTTGAGAATTCATTTTTAGGAATATGAGCAACAATAGCACCTTTATCTTCAGGTGTCGATATCGAAACTAAAGAGCGAACACCTATGATTGAACTTAAATAACCTGCCAAACCACCAGATTTTACAGTATATAATTTCTTCTTATTCATTGGAGTTAAGTTTTCAGATTCTTTACTAGCGGGCTTATAAAATACATCCAATGTACCGTCAATAACATAATATAAACCCGAATTAAAGGATTCTTGTTCAACAAGTGTCGTATTTGGACCAAAATACTTAATATTCAAATGCTTAGAAAATTCATTCTTTACATTATAAAAGTTCGACTCAAACGATTGTATGGGAATAGACTTTTTCTTGAACATTAAATTGTTGATATCTACTTGGCTTGATTTGTCATTCTCATGATCCATTTCTTTCAACTGCGATTGATTCACAGTATTATAGAATTTCAAATTATTATTTGCTCCTTTATTCAAAGAAGTTGGGAAACTGCTAATCGAATCGTACCTTACTTTGCCCGTATTATAATCAAAAATTCCATTTGGATATTTACTTTCATTACCATTATTCATTAAGCTTGGTAATCCAACTACTGAAGAATTAACTGATGAGCTTCTTGAATTTAAGTCTGACATACTGCCAATCATATTTGAAACTTCATTGATTCCTAAAATTTTGAATATATTTTCAATAATTGCAATTCGTAAAGAAGTCTCCTCAGTTTCTTCTCTTTCATCAGAGAATGTTCGATCTCTGATATTTTCGAACTTTGTGGTAGAAGATGAATGTCTTTTCAAAGTTGGCCCTCCATTTGATGATATTTGACGTTTCGGTAAGACAGGTGAGGTCAACTTAGTTCTTGATTGACTGCGCACTTCTTCAGAATCTGGTTGAATTGTTGTATGAGTTTGATAATAATCAGATCTTCTAGATAGAGGTACAGACGAAAGTAAATCTCCAGGATGAGTAGATTTTGAACGAGAATCCAACACAACATATCTTGATGATTGATTTCTATTTAATGGTCTTAAACTAGTAGTTGACTTTTTAGGTAATGAGGAAGAACTACTAGATGTCTTATTTATTGACACAGAAGGGTTTTCTGCAGTTTTATTCAATAAAGTATCATTATTTTTATTGCCATAAAACTTTTCAATAACACCATCATATAAATAACTGGGTAAACTATCCTTGGCACCTTCAGATTCATTTAGCTGGATTTCACTATGTATGATTTCTCTTGTTAAGCCTAAGTAGCTATGGATCGTATTCATGGTTATCTTGTATAATCTAGTTATAACCATTGTTACAATATGCGATGTAGCCTTCGGGTATTTAGATTGAACTTTCTGAAATGCCAGATACGGAATAATTGCAATCGTTGCCGTGTTGAGATTATTTGAATCTTCGGTAGGCTTAGGTCTTGCCACAATGTTGGGGTAGTTGCGATCACTTGAGCTTAAAGATGTATCGTTATAATTACCAGAGCTGAGTGGATCAAATGACTTTGAGCCAGTGTTATCAGGACTTAGGGGATTTGAAGCCGGATTAGAATCTAATTCAAATGGAGAAAACAATTGATTCGACACGGTATCAAGATCGACTGGTTTAAACAAATCTAATGTACTCATCAATGAAGACAACGGCGATCCACTTTTCACTTCATTCAATAATTGGTAACATTGATCTCCAATAGTTAACAAATCGTCTTTTTCGAAGTTCAATTCATTATCATCACTATTTGAAGTTGAATTCGAATTGCCACTGTTAACCTTCGTATATACTTGTATAGTACCTTCGACGACAATCAGAAAACCCAATTTTTCATCTAGATATAAGATTTCTTCCAGCGACAACTTTTGTGTTGTCATGTTCCTAGTTAATTCATGAAATACTGGTCTTTCCAAATATCCAAATACCTTAATAGCACTTAAAAATTCATCCAAATAATTTGATGTTGATTTTGAATCTCCTCTCTTGTTCTTTTTTATAGATCCAACTAAGTCGATGTTTTTATTAGACGATTTGGGCTTATCAGTTGTTTTGGTTGTTTTAGAATATCGCGTAAGATACTTATATCTGACTATCAAGAAGCAGAACGATATTATACCTGTTAAAGTGATAACAATTGATGACAATGACAATGTAATCTGAAAATTAACCGAAAATAAATTGACAATTATATTTGGAATGTAATACACAAATATATTCATTATCTTGAAGAATAACCACAGCCAAAACCAAAAGATAGCACTAAAAAGCGATATTGATGAACTAGAATCTCTTGCAGATGGTAAGAGGAATTGCAGTGACACAGGGGAATGAAGTTCCGCGTGTTCTGCCACGGTACTAACTACGTCAATTGTACTCATCTCCTGAATTAGATTACTTTATCGAATTAATGGATTGATGGTAATAAAATATTAGTACTTGATCTCCAGAAGACCAAATTCATATTGCTATATATTGTGTACAGGATATTTCGGTTTGTATGGGAATAGATCTATATCTTGTCTTATAGATAATCCAAATACAATGATAAGTATTGATAACATAATGTGCATTGTATATATTCTATACTTGCAGAGATAATAAATATAAAAGTGAGAACAAAAAATCTTAAACATCATATGGAAGACAATTAAATCTCTTTAAGATTCTTTCGATGCCATCCATACCCTTAACCAATTGATTGTACTCAGGGCCATAACTGATTCTCACATAATTGTACCAGATGACATCCTCTAATTTAGATAAGTTTTGAGGATTAATTAAAAAGAAAAAGCCTGGTACAATAATCACTTTTTCGTGCAAACATTCATGGAAGAAACCCAAACAATTCGATAACTTTCCTGGTAAATGAGATAAATTCAACCAAAGATAAAATGTAGAGTTTGGAGTGTTCCTTTCATTGAATTCAAAACCCATTTTCGATAATCTTTCAATAATGTAGTCTCTTTTCATTTTGAAATGTAATTGCAAGGCCTTCATCTCATTTCTAACTAGAGTAGGCTCCAAAAAGTCAATAGCAGCGAACTGGAGTGGCGCATTCGAACCACCATCAAGGAAAGACCCAGCACTACTCAATGAGTTAATATATTCTTCTGGTCCTAAGATCCAGCAAATTCTCCAACCAGGTAACCTAAACGCCTTGGTCAACCCATTCAAGATCAAGACTGGATCACGATTGACATCTTCGACAAATTCAGCACTGGAAATCGAAGATCCCGAACAATTATCATCATAATAGTAGTGGGAGTAGAATTCGTCCATGATCAACAAACATTTATCTTCACATAATTTGTGTAACGAAGCCAATTGTTCTCTTGACATACACTTACCAGTAGGATTTCTTGGATTGGACGTTAATAATGCACTTACTCCTCTCATCAATTCATTTTTAATCATTTCCAAGTGGAATTCATAGTTATCCAGCTCTTTCAAAGGTACCGGTATAGGCGAAAAATTCTTGAATAACGACAACATTTCCGCATACGCAGTATAGTCAGGTAAAAAGAACGACAAGTAGCAATCGCTTATAATAGAGGCAATTCTTGTCAAACCAGCTCTACCACCTGGAACAATACATACATTTTTGTACGTATATTTAGAATGTTTGTTCTTACGGTAAGTTTCGTTGTACAAATTTGCAACAGCATGACGCAATTCCTTAATACCTGCAGTAGGAGCATATTCCTTACTGTGTTCAGATATAGGAACCGATGTAGGTCTCTTGAAAGACCCAGGAATAGTATCACCGTGTTCAGGCGCACCCTGCCCCAAATTGGCCCACGAATCCTGGTTATTGAATCCGTACTCCCCAGCTCTTTCCGTAACCCACAATACCCCGGTTGAAGATTGGCTAGTATTCATTGCGGGTTTATTGATTTCCTCATTAAACTTAGGTCTTGGGATCGGCACAGGCGATGACTCTCTCCCCTCACTTCTCGATAACTTATTTATCAAATGGTTCTTATGCGAAACAGGTACGGGAGGTACCCTCGCGGATGGGTGTCCTTCATTCATCCAACTGGAACCTCCACCGTAATTACCTGTGAGCGATGGCACATTAGACGTTTGTGAATTGTTCAAGGTTAGCAAAAGCGACGATGCCGATCTTTTAAGCGGCTCCGGCAACGTAGACTCGAGTCGTTCGAACTCTGACAAGCTCTCGTCATCCGACTCGTTGAAATTGAAGTTGGACATGGTTAATTATGTTGATGTACTCCCTACAAATTGCTACCAAAGTACCTAATCCCCGGAATTTTTCAATAGTGTATGAGTCTTACAAATGTCGTCATTATGTCGCACTCTCTTAACTATGGGCCATCGCGACATTATTGGTTTTTCCTTCTGTCTTTGTCTTGGTAGACTCATTTTGCATCCATTCAACCCTTCAGCCCTAGGCCATTACTGTCCACTGGGCCCGATTCCAATTCCCGTTCAGAATAAGCCCCTACATCACAGGTATCATTATATAGTACAAAGTCTACAGCACCGACCATCCATACCCGTAATTATACACTACCAGCCTAATTAATTAGGCAAGAATGGCATTACTCTGCTATGCTATTCCCGCATCAACAGCAATTCCCTTTCCCTCTACCATGTAAACCGCGTTATTTCGCGCAAAGTCCCTCCCGTTCTCCTATTTCTCTGTATATGTTCTTCATGAGCTGCAATGCACCAAACTAATACAATAGGTGCAATATGAAACTCCAATCGGTGTTCGCGGAATTGTAAACGGCATTCTATTCTACTTTTTTCGTCGTAAAAAGCGATACCGACATACAACCAAGGCACTATGCCTCTACGCGGGTTGCAACAATACACCATGCGGCCCCACTCTGTCTCCTAACAAGGCTACAACGAAAAAAAAAAGACGAAAAAGACGGAAAATCACCGATGAAACTACGATTAGTGAATCACGCACGTGATCAAGTCCGGTTAGGCGTATTAAAGAGATGCCATAATGACCTATACGAAAAGAATATGTGGGATATAACTAATAAATAGTTTGTTGTTTTGATTATATATTATAGATATATAATTGGTATTATATACTACATGAGTTAATGGGGTATCCAGGAATACAGGGGTTATATTCTAATTCAAGAGCACATCCATTTGTATCATTATCTCCGGTATCGTCGTACGAAAGCGGCGGACAGGCGCCAGGAACCGACGAGGAGGCCAAAGACGATATTGGGGGTAATAGTACGGATTATGGGAACTTCTCACCTCTTCTCTCGTTACCGCTAGAAATTTTGTATCAGATCATCGAGATTGTGTACTATGACGACAATACGACGTCGATCAACTCCAATTTGGAGAATTTTTCCAAAACCATTCCGCTATTGCTGAAGGCAATCAACACCATATCACTCCGGTTTCTCTACAAGTATGCTAATTTCAACCGGCCGCATTCGTTTGACAAGTTTTTGCAGAATTTAGTGAAATATCCGACTTTGGGCCAATTCGTGGAGTTTATGGACTTCCAGATATTCACGTCGATTGGGTTGGGACGCACGGGGAGAATGAATCAGGAAATTCAGATGGTGACGTCCAAGACTATTTTGCAGGCATTAGAGTTGACACCGAACCTAATTGAATTTTTGGCAAGCGAAAACATCCAGGATGATTTGGACGAACATGTATTGAATTATTTGTTCAATAACTCGCCCAAATTGCAAGCGCTAGACTTCTGTGGTGCAAGTAGCGAGAGCTTCGTGTCCGCATTCCAAAAGTTGATTATCAATGATCCAATTAATGAATTGGACGACGATGAGGTTGTTGTGAAAAGCAGCTTGGAAAACCTCTTCAAAATATCGTTTCACGACTGCTCCAACTTGACTCCTGATGTTTTCATCAAAATCTTGCCTCATTTACCTAATTTGCGGAGATTAGACTTAACACACACCTCCATAACATCTACCATTTTGAATACTTACTTACCTCACTCAATTGAATTAACGCATATTTCATTAGCAAAATGCTCCAAGTTAACCACCAAAGACTTAATAAATTTCTTGACTAATCATCCGGCAGTGTGTAATAATCTGTTGACTTGGCTTAACTTGCAGATTGATTCCAATATGGTAAGTCCTTTGAATGAAGTATATTTATATTATACATTGAAGCATTTAAAAGCTGATAACCTTCGCTATTTGAACTTAGGAGGTTTACCTTTGAACGAAAAGATATTACGGCTAATTAAAGCATACTTTCCCCGTCTTGAAAGCTTGTCCTTATCGCATTCTTCAATTGAATTGAATGACGTCAATGAATATTTGAACGAAAACAAAAACATCAGATACTTAGATATCACCGGTTGCAAGAAGATAACAAGATGGAATTTATCCCACATATTGAAAGCTAATTACGACTCCCCTTTAACGGCCATAGAATTTGACTATAAGCTTTTATTTGAGTTAACTACTGGTGAGTTTATGAAAATTTTACCCTTGCAGTCTTCAAACATGAATTTGCTTTCGTATGAGACTAAGGAGCCCGAGATTTGGAAATTTTATGACAATGAAGGACGGAGATCCTGGATTTACAAAATTGTTCCTGGCGATCCTGACTATAATTCCATTTTAAACAACAATAATAAGGCTCTCACTAATGCAAATTTGACCTTCTATGATTTAGAAACAGGTGAAAAAATCGTTCAGAGAGTTAAGAAGCCTGAATTTTTGAAGTATGCTTCCAGAAAAATTAACTGTTCTGTTGGCTATTTCAACCTCAACATGGTTAAAAAGAAAAACTACATACAAAACATACTAAAAGAGAACATTTGGCCAGTGGAGTTCAGTCAAAGAGGCATTTATAACTATTACTCCTTAAACATCAAATAAAGAAAGTCTTGTTCTTCAGCATATTCACTATCAGTCTAGCATTTTTCAATAGAATTACTGATCATCTTTTTATGTCAAAATAATCTGTATATATAACATTATTTCTGAATTTATAAGTCTTATGACTTTATACTAATAAAATAATAATTAAACTGGAGTTGTTAAGTATTGTTAATAGCTATAATGTGTAGTATATCACATATTTAAACGATCTTGTGATTTTAATAGATTGTCCTGCGATTTTTAAACTGAGATACCGAGGCCATTATGTGGGGATAAAGCTTTAATGTCTATGTTTTCTTGTTCAACTTTTTCAACAGTCACAACTATATCAATTAACTAACATGTCACAACCAGATGTTACAGAAGTAAGGAACTCGTTTGATACTCAGGGTTTAGAAAAATATTTGTCGAATTTATCTGATGTTCATCATACTACATTTGGGTTGAATAAACCTAATTTTAAATTACCTTTAACTATTAAACAATTTAAGTTTGGCCAGTCTAATCCTACTTACTTTATCACTGATTCTAATGGGTTTGAATTTGTATTGAGAAGGAAACCAGTTGCTAATGATAAGTTAGTTTCTAAGTCAGCTCACGCCATTGAGAGGGAATTTTTCATGCTTAGAGGTATTCAGGTCTGTAATAAATCAAGAACCAAAAAAGTACCAGTTCCAGATCTTTATTTGCTATGTGAAGATGAGTCTGTTATTGGTTTTGTCTTTTACCTTATGGAGTACGTTAATGGAAGACAAATTAAAAATCCAAGCATGCCTGGAATGAGTGAAGCAGATGCAAAGTTGCACTGGGATTCAATAATGGAAACTATCCTGTCTATTCATTCTTTAGATCCAGATACATTGATTAAGGAGCTTCCAGCAAATCATTTCCCTCAATTTCAACCAGAAAAGATGGCGAAGAGCAGTGGGTCGTATTTTCAGAGACAGATAAGAACTTTATCATCCGTGGCAAGACTTCAATCAAAAGTGGTGGATCCAATCCCACATTTTGATCAAATTTGTAAATGGCTCTTAGAAAAGGCACCTAACGATCCATCTAAGAAATCACTAATCCATGGAGATTTCAAGATCGATAATGTCTTGTTCGACGTTAACGAACCTAAAATCGTTGCAGTTTTGGATTGGGAATTGTGTACCTTCGGACATCCGCTATTCGACTTAGCTAATTTCTTGCAGCCTTTCCAATTGCCCAATCAATTGAACTTGTTGCTTTATAAACCTGATAAGACTGACATGGGAATTGAGAAGCCTGGTTCTCTTGATTCTATTTATGATAAGTTGGCTATTTATCAATCGAAGTTAGGCTATAACTGGAATGACAACGACCCTTCAAATAATGCATCAGATAATTGGAATGTGGGCTTTGTATTCGGGTTACTTAGGTTGTGTGTCATCTCTCAAGGTATTGCAATGAGAGTTGCAAAAGGAAGTGCAAGTTCGGGTGATGCTGCAGGCTACGCTAAATTGTATCTTCACCTTCCTGAATTAGCACTTAATACGGTCAATGATAGGGTACAAGACTCTAAACTATAGAATAGACTATATAATCCTATGAATCATACATTTTCAGATTCATATTAGGCTAGAATAATGTACGATAAAATTAAAATCGCGACGTAATATGAAAATTTAAAATTACACTCACTTATCTAAGTCTTTCCTATCAACTATGACATTGCAACACTTTGAAGACCTTGATACCGCTAAGAGCACAGATTCGTCTATCATAATAAGATGTCCATTTGGTCCTTGTAATACTCGTATTATTATGTTATCTGAGAAACTCCTGTCAAATGAGTTGATTATCCAAAATTCGCCAGACATGGTTCAAATATCTGATAATACAGATAGCAACCCAAATCAGTTTTTCAAAATAAATGACGTTTGGGATTTTGATAATATAGGAGTTTCGAGGCCTTCGAGTGATATCAAGCAGCCCGTTATAGAAGAAAATAATAAAGTTCTAAATATTAAAATCGAACGATTATTAATTTGCAGTGAATGTGATAAAGGGCCTATTGGATTCGCAGGGTTAGAGGGAGACGACGCTGATGTGAAGAACTTGAAATACTTTCTAAGCTGCAGCAGTGTATTATACGATATTAAATAAATCATTTATTTAGTTACTTATTAAACAATTATACATTCTACATAGTGTGAAATAGACTCAAAGTCTAGCTTGTGGTTGTAAGTCCTTACTGATACCTAAAGCAATAAGTCTTGCTATAGACATAGTAGAAATCATTGGGTTGGCACCACTTGCCGTAGGCATAGCACTGGCATCAGCGACGTAGACATTTTTACATTCATATAATCTACCCTTGTTATCGCAAGCACCATATTTAGGACCCTTACCAGATATACGGCACGAACTCATTTGATGAGCAGAACCGTAAGGACAACCAAATGTATCGAGTTTGGTTTTACTGACTGATTCACGCCATTCGACATAGTCACGATCCTTAACTGATCTTTGTTCTTTCGGTTTGTTAGATTGAAAATTTGGAACCCATCTTTGAGGGTGGATGATTTCTTTAGCACCCTCAACATACAACATATCTGCAGATATCAATATAGCTTGCAATAATGCGTTACGGTCATACTTGTTTATTGAGTAATCGACAATTAACGAGTCTGGTTTAGTTGCATCCGCCCTAATAGTACCACTTGATTTGTCTCTAGTTATAATCAACATTGCCGCCAAATTATTATAGCGTAATAAGTCTTGTCTTGACTTATCACTTGATTGCCATGGCATGAAAACCGATTCTAAAAGAGGTGTATGTAAAACGGTTTCAATTTTAGCTCCGTGAGCTTTTCCATCCAAATCATCAACTTCGGTGCATACAGTAGTTAAGATTGATTCATTAAATGGTTTGGTGTTATTCTCCTTACCAAAATCCCCAAACAAAACCGTAACAGGATGTAACTTTAAGTTAGCCCCAATATTCTTGTTCTTGAAACCAGAATTTTGCAAAACTACAGGGGTGTTTAATGAGCCACCACAGACGACAAATTTTTTTGGGCCTCTAATCGTAAACTCATGACCAGTCTGTGTATCCTGACATAGAGCACCAACAGCTTTACCACCTCTATGAAGAACCTTAACAACTCTAACTTTATCCATGAATTGACAGCCCTTCTCCGAAGCATCTCTGAACCAGCAAGCTGAAGAACCTTGTTTGACATTAAATTTGCAACCTAAGTGACAAAATCCACAACTATGGTTTGGATGATTACCATTGTTCTGCTCTACTGGTTTCGCCTCGTATCCCAACTTTTCAGCCCCATTTAATATTACTTGATTTGAAAAAGAATGTTTGACGCCGTCTAGCGTTGCACCCATTTTCTTCCAAACATAATCAGTACATTTATCATATAATTCGTTTGCTGCCCAATCCACCCCATAATCGTCATACCATTCTTTACGAACTTTGAATGGGGTCTTCAAACACGCTGACCAATTGACAGTCGATCCACCTCCAAAAGTTGAACCTGCTAAAATCATGGTTTGTTGATTCACAGTAGTCAAAACCCCTCCGCTCTCATACAAATTCTTATTACCATCTTTTTCGTCAAATACCAACTCTGTTGGGTGAAAATATTTTCCCTTTTCGAGAACAAGACATTTATGACCATCATTGGATAAAGTGTGAGCAACAACCCCAGCACCCGATCCGGATCCTATAATCAAGACATCAATATTTGGGGCGTATAATTCGTCACCAGTAGGATGTTCCAACATCTTATATCTAAAAGGGTCTATCTTAATATTTTCATAAATTTCGTCCCTCATCTCCCTTCCAGGGTACCCAATAGCCTGATTGTGTAAATCTGGACACAATTTAATAAAAGTGGTAATTGATAAGGAGTATAATAATTTGAATAGTCTTCTAAAAATTTCTAGGTTAGAATTTTGCCATGATCTTAATAATGCTTCTCTTTCTTCATAACTCATATCTCTAATTAACGTAATTGAGCCTGTCAATGTTGGTGCTAAGACCCTGGAATCTAAAACATTCATAAGCAAAACGAATGTTCTTGATGATGCTACAGGGGTACCATTGACACATTCTTTAATACAATCTCTGAATCCTGGTACTTCAGATGGTTTAGTAAACGTTTGACAGTAGTCCTCTAATCTACTCTTATCAAAGTTTTCATCAAGAAAGGATTCGATGTTTTCAGGAGTGGTTTCATGGACAATAGCATCGGCCAAAAACATAAACACTTCAACATGTTTATCTTCAACCACGTACGATATCATATTGTATTTAGCAAACTATATTAATAGATTATAGACTGGTATTTTGCTTGATACATATATAATTAATATAAAAATGAACTAGTGGTACGATAGTGACCCCACGCTAAAATGCCTGTGAAAGTTGCATTGTTGAAAATTAGAAAATTTCATGTGTGAATCAAAGCTTGCAACTAAGTTCATTAATAGAAGACGGCTATTATCGTATGATATACTCAACTTTGCATGGCTAATGTACGAGATATTCCTAATAGGTAACCTATTACATTTTCGGTAATTCAGCAAATTCTGAAGGAATTCCTAGCTCGTTTCTCAAATCCAGCTCTTCGATAGTAGCTGAGGATACTTTGGTGAAATAGTAAATCATCGATTCGATATCATCCGTAAACGTTTCAATTGCCAGTATTAGACGCACATTCTTTTCATTTAATGACTCAATCATTTGGGGATCGTTATCGCCGTATTTTTGCAATTCTTCTTCTAAATGTAGTTTGCGGTTACTGAGACATGTGAATTGTTCTATCAATTTATGTCTGTTACCAAATTCGCTCTTTACAAGTCTTTGCAACTTGCCCAGTTGAATTTTCTCAACAAACTGGTCCCTTTCTAATTGTTTCTCTTTAAGTTTGTTCTGGTAGTTATTATACTGAGTTTGTAAAGTTTTAATCTTATCAAATTTGAAACACCAATATAAGTTTGTCGTACCACATTTTTCACAATTAATCAAATTGTCATCTATCAATTGCTGGACTATATCTTTGATAAGCATTGATGATATTTTGGCATATTTTGATCCTTCTTTTTCAATTTCTTTTAAAGTATAGAATGTATGACTTTGGTTAAAAAATTCGTACAACTTTTCTTTTTTGTCTTCTGCTGATAACCCCTTCTTAGGTGCCTAGTTCCGTTAGGAGATGATCATTGCTTACTCATAATTCTACATACCATTTTGGAATATTGTTATTCTCCTTTAAGTTAGCTAGTATTTTGAAACTGTTGCAAAACGAGAAACTGGAAATTTGTTCCCTTTTATATTCTTATAAACCGCTGCAATTTATTATATACGTATAGAGAAAGAGGCAAGAAGACTATGAGGTTATTATAATGTTCTACTCATTTAGGCTTACTTCAGATAGGTATATACTTCATTAGACACAAACCATTGCTTAAAAATCTTGACCTATTTATAATAGTCCACTTTCAAATTTTAAAATAGGCTTCATTGTCTTGTTAAACAGGCGATTCCTGTGTATGCACAAGTGTTGGAGTCTAAGTGATTATGCTTTCTTATCTCATGAAAAGTTTTGAAATCTATGGATTTTATAAAATTTACTACCAATACACTGCAGTATTCGAAAACATTATAAAATTGCAAAAATCATCAAAATTTACAAACACAATTTTTCACGTTTAAATGAAACACAGTAGTAAATCAAAATATAGTATCAATATAAACTATGGGAAATGATTTCATAGATAAACATAAGGATTCAATTGCTAGTAAATGGTTGATAATTATATAATTCCATCAGTATTGTGATCCCAAAATACCTGCTAGTTGACAATGACACAAAACCAGATATCTATTAGATAGACTTTAATATGAACAAAAACAATTGCTAAATCAAGGCCAATTAAACAAATAAAAGATACTACAAGAACTTTAAATATCTAAAATGCATTTATGTATTATATGAAGTCACCAAATATCTTATCTAACTAGCCAGCTAATTAATTAGTTAAGTTTTTTAGCTTTAACTATCTATGTTCAGAAGGATCAGTGTTCACTGTAACATTAGTAGCAGTACCTATCTTTTCTTCGTGTGATGATGGGTATGAAGCGAAATCGTCCTCCTGAAGTTCACCACCTTCGAATTCAGCATCGTATTTTTCCATAGCATATTCTCTTGCTCTCCAAGCTGGTACTTCGAACAAGTGGTCTATAGCTTCTAATGGAACACCCTTAGTTTCAGGGTAAAAGAAGAAAATCACCAATGGGAATGCAATCATGCATGCAGCAAATACGAAGTACAAACCGTACGAAGTGGCTTCGAATGCTTGTCCAGTAAATCTCCCCATAATGAAGGCCCAAAACCAGTTAGATGCAGCATTAATAGCTTGAGTGAATGTTCTAACTTCCTGAGAAAATATTTCTGAATTTATGACCCATGGGGTACCGTTCCACGAAGCACCGTAGAAAAAGGTCCAAATATATAATAATCCTTGAGCAGCCTTACCACCAGCGTCCATTTGAGTATTACCAGTTGCTAATCTTGCAGCTGGATCTGCTACATAAACATATGCTCCAATATACCACATACAGAGTGAACATGGTACTGAGAACCAAATTAATGAAGAACGACGTCCCATTAAATCAACAATGAAAAAGATCCAAACAACAGAAGCAAATGCCTTAATAATACCAAAAATACCAGTGGATAATAATCCCGCATCAGAACCACTAACACCTAAAGACTTGAAAACGGTTGGAGAGTAATAAGTGATGGCATTAATACCAGAACCATTTTGCATTGGGAATAAAGAAGTAGACATAAGTAATCTGATGAGCAACTTCTTACTCTTGGCAATAGCCAAAATTGGCGCAAAGAAACCATCACCAATCTTAGCTCTTCTTTCGTGGATGTCCTTAGTGAAAACATCAATTTCGTGGTGAGAATATTCATGATCTTCTGGGATATTTCTTAAGTATGCCAAGTTCTTTCTAGCCTTTTCCATTTTACCCTTTGAGACTAAAAATCTAGGCGATTCAGGAATAATACAAGCACCAATCCAGAATAACCCAGATGGAATTAATTGGATAGCAAAGGGAATGAGCCATTGTTTCTTCGAGTTTGGAATATTTTGTAACACACCGTAGTTAATCCAGTACCCAATAATACCTCCAATTTGCCATGATAACTCCCAGCATCCAACTAACTTACCTCTGACAGCAGCAGGACTAATTTCAGATACATATATTGGCGCAAGCCCAGAACATCCACCGATACCAACACCAGTCAACACTCTTCCGGCATAAATGGCTCCTAAACCATTGTCTTTATTTGAAATCAAAGAAATAGCCGCACCGAACGTCAATAAGAACCCAGAAATAATTAAACCCATCTTTCTACCAAAAATCTCCCCCACTGGGTACATCATTAATGCTCCCCAAAATGCACCAGCCTGAAAAACAGACACAACATTTGCTTCAATAAGCGTGGCTTGGTCACTCGACATTTTGTCCATGCCAAACTCTTGCTTGAAACTTTCCAACGACACAGTTCCTCCAATGAAACCAGCATCGTATCCAATAATCACAGCTGCTGCTGCAGCTGTGATTGCAACAATAACCAACTTATAGTTGTAGATGGCATCTGGAATAGGAACATGATCCGCCTGTTCTCTTGCTGATTTGATGGACATGGAGTCTCCTGCGTTAGACACTCTTCTCTTTAACTTATTAATTAGCTTATGGTTCATATTAGGCTTTTCCGTACAACTTTCCAAAATAATATCGTTCCCAAATCTTTGAAAATTTGGCTTTTTATATAAAAGTCAAATATTCGCCTACCGCTTAATTTCTATTTCTCTTGAAACCTTATTTTTAGGCAAAACTGTTATCCTGGGGTCGGAAATTATTTTATTTCTACCTGAAAATTTGCTGAAAAATTTGACGACATTTCTTAACAATGATCATTACTCACTCATTAATTATGGGGTAATGTGATGTATGGATGTAAAATCTTAATCAGTCATTACGTACACTACTAGATAATTATAAGTTTAGCCGTGTCCCCTCCACTACACCACCTTTACACCACTCATCGGAATTACACACTTTATTCTCCGAACGTGTATTTCCCGCGTAAAAACAGTTTGCCGCGAATTTTACTATCACATATTCTCGTATCTATAAGATGAAATAACTCCAGTGAGGATATATTTCGCGGGCCTTCGGAGGAATTTTGCGACAAGAATCTTAGTTAGGGTAAGGATTTAGCACGATAGTCAAGAGGTCGCCAAGATGTTGTCAAGGTAACGTCTCATATTTGCCATTCGTGAATGGATAAGTTTTACACATACTATATTCAAAACTAACATTAATATATAAGAGTGTCGTTAGTGGGCCGTGATTGATACGTGGCTAACTTGCTGTACCCCACTTCAGGCCCATACTTTGCAGCTACATGAAAAATATGGACTACATTACAGCCGAAGCGACATAATAAACGTTGAACAATTTATGTATTGGCTGGATAAACAATGAGTAGACATTGGATAATATGAATGGACATTGTCAGTCGATGAGTAGATAGTTGATGTGTGTTGAACTGTAGTTTATGTATAAGCAGGACTATCATCGACAATGCTCATTACGACACAATTTGACTACAGGAAAATTCAAGTTGGCTATCAATTTATTCTATCGTTATATAAATATAAATATACCAGAAATACAGTCCAACACTCAGATGTATAAGAAAAGTATAGTTCTGGATGGCCCTCAGTGAGAAGGCCGTGTAACCCTATCGTGCAAAAATTTATGAATTTCCTTTGTCAGGAAAGTGCGCTTCATGGAAAGAATGTTCTGAGCTCGAAGGGTCTGCTGTGTATTGACCCTCATATTCGATCTCGAATTTGCTCATAGCGTAGTCTCTTGCTCTCCAAGCTGGAACCTCGAATAAGTAGTCAATTGCTTCTAACGGCACTTCCTTTGTTTCCGGGTATAGCAAGTAAATCACGCATGGGAATAATACCATACAGGCGGCAAATAAGAAGTATAACCCGTACGATGTAGCTTCGAAGGCTTTCCCGGTAAATCTACTCATAATGAATGACCAAAACCAGTTTGAAGACGCATTAATGGCGGATGTGAAAGTCCTAACTTCTTGGGAAAAAATTTCTGAGTTTATAATCCATGGAGTACCATTCCATGACATGGCGTACGCCACACTCCAAATGTATAATAATCCTTGGGCAGCTTTTCCCCCAGCATCCATTTCAGTGTTACCAGATGCTAATCTGGAGGCGGGGTCTGCAACGTAAACGTAGGCACCAATATACCACATACAGAGTGATAATGGAACCGACATTACGATCAATGCAAACCTACGTCCTAAGTTATCAACGATGAAAAACATCCAAAACAATGCAGAAACCCCTTTTATAATACCAAAGATACCGGTTGAAAGTAAACCTGCACTTGGGCCGTCCATTCCCAACGATTTGAAAACAGTAGGAGAATAATATGTAATAGCATTTATACCAGTACCATTTTGCATTGGGAATAATGAGGTTGATAATAGTAGCCTATAGAGAAGCTTTTTGCTTGTAAATACTTCTTTTATAGGCGCAAAAAACCCACTACCAATCTTAGACTTTTTCTCTGAATCAGCAATGAAAAGGTCCATTTCATGTAGCGAGTATTCATGTTCTTCAGATAAGTTTCTCAAGAAAGCTAAGTTTTTCCTTGCTTTTTCGATCTTCCCTTTTGAAACCAAAAATCTTGGAGACTCTGGAATTACAAATGTTAAGATCCAGAACAAACCAGCAGGTACCAATTGAATCGCAAATGGAATAAGCCACTGTTTAGTAGAAATAGGTTGATTTTCTTGAACACCAAAGTTAATCCAATATCCAACGATACCTCCAACTTGCCACGATAATTCGAAGCATCCAACTAGTTTACCTCTAATTGATGCTGGACTAATTTCTGAAATATAGATGGGTGCCAATCCTGAACAACCTCCAATTCCAAAACCACTCAAAACTCTCCCGGCATATACTGCTCCTAATCCTCGTTCATTATTTGAGATCAACGAGATGGCACATCCTAAAGTCAAAATAAATCCAGATACAATCAATCCAATTTTTCTTCCAAATAATTCACCTATTGGGTACATCAGTAAAGCTCCCCAAAACGCACCTGCATGGAAGATAGATACAACGTTGGCACTAACTAACGATCTTTCATCAGATGACATTTTATCCATACCAAATTCTTTCTGGAAACTTTCCAATTCAACAGTGCCTCCGATGAAACCGGTATCGTACCCTATAATGATCGCTGCCGATGCTGCTGTAATGGCTACCAAAACTATCTTCCAGTTGTATATTTCTTTGGGGATCGGAATATGACCATCATCTTCTTTGACGGATTTCACCGACATCGAATCGCCTGCATTCGAGACCAGTCTCTTTAATCTACTGAATATTTTATGCTTCATATTTCGTGGGTACTTAAAAAATTTTAAAATATAATCTCAAGATCTTCGATATTTAAAATACTTTTAAACGAGCCATGGAACGGAAATAAATGAACCTTATTTCAACTGGCAAAACTGTTATCCTGGGGTTCGGAGTATTATTTAATTCGATTCCTGTGTCTTGACTCACACCCGCAAAATGATTCAAAAAAACTTCACGATGCTGTACAATAGTTGACGTTGCATACAGTCTTCACTATGGAGCTACTATGCAACAAATCCGCGAATCAGAATACATATAAAGTAGTATGTAATGTACAGGTAAGTGGAAAAAACAACTATAGGTTGTCGGCATGCTATAACATAATTCCGATATGCGATGTAAAAAACGTTTAGGAAGATCTTTTTTTCTCTCTTCGCATAAACGGTTACCCGTAGATTAGTAGATATAAGAGGGGGTGGCAGAATATTAGGGAATACACTTTTCAAATGGAGTTACGGCGATGGTCACATACTCATTCTTCGGGTCATTCTATTTCATAGTGCCTCTCTGAATATTGAGATGATTGTATGCTTACGAATAGGAGTCTGCCCTTTTTTTCACAGTTATATTATTGTAATATTGTATTTGTACTAGAAATACAGTCGCATAATAATTAATTAGCCAGCTAAATAATCATCTTTCAAAGCATATTCTAAATTTAAAACGAACTCATGTTCTGTGGTTGATAGAGTGAGATGTAAATGAACTTCCGTTTGTTACATTGACTTGAACACCCCCAACTTTTTCGTCATCTGATGTAACAGAACCATGTGCATCTACTTCATGAGCATGTTCTTGGATTAATTCACCATCTTCATATTCTCTTTCGAACTTATCTAATGCGTATTGTCTTGCTCTCCAGGCTGGAACTTCGAACAAGTGGTCGATAGCTTCTAATGGAACACCCTTGGTTTCAGGGTAAAAGAAGAAAATGATGATAGGGAACACTATCATACAAGCCCCAAATAAGAAGTATAACCCGTATGAGGTTGCTTCGAACGCCCTTCCAGTAAACCTTCCCATAATGAAAGCCCAGAACCAGTTTGAAGAAGAGTTGACTGCCTGAGTGAAAGTTCTAACTTCTTGAGAAAAGATTTCTGAATTAATAACCCATGGAGTACCGTTCCATGAAGCCCCGTAGAAGATAGTCCAAATGTATAATAAAGCTTGCGCAGCCTTCCCGCCGGCATCCATCTTAGTATTACCGGAAGCTAATCTAGCGGCTGGGTCAGAAATCTTAATGTATGCACCAATGTACCACATACAAAGCGAACATGGAATTGAGAACCAAATCAAGGCAGTACGACGACCCATTATTTCCACCACTAAGAAAATCCAAATAACAGACGCAAATCCCTTTAATATACCGAAGATACCAGTAGATAATAAACCAGCATTAGGACCACTAACACCTAAAGACTTGAAAACGGTTGGAGAATAATAGTTAATAGCATTAATACCAGAACCGTTTTGCATTGGAAATAATGCAGTCGATAAAAATAATCTATAAATTAATTTCTTATTTGTAAAAATTTCAACAATTGGAGCAAAGAACCCATTTCCGATCTTAGCAATTCTTTCTTCAATATCAGTGGTAAAGATATCAATTTCATGTAAGGAATATTCGTGGTCCTCAGGCAAGCCTCTCAAGAAAGCTAAATTCTTCTTAGCCTTGGCCATCTTACCTCTTGAGATTAAGTATCTTGGCGATTCAGGAATGAAGAATAAACAACCGAAGAAAATACCAGATGGAACTAATTGAATAGCAAATGGAATAATCCATTGTTTTTTCGAATTTGGAATATGTTCTAAGACACCGTAATTGATCCAGTATCCAACAATACCACCAATTTGCCACGATAATTCCCAGCATCCAACTAACTTACCTCTGATGGAAGAAGGACTGATTTCAGAAATATAAATTGGAGCCAATCCTGAACATCCACCAATACCAATACCAGTGATGATTCTCCCTGCATAGATAGCACCTAATCCTCTATCTTGATTTGCAATCAATGTAATAGCAGCACCAAAGGTTAACAAGAATCCCGAAATAATCAACCCAGCCTTTCTGCCTAAAAGTTCACCAATAGGGTACATAATTAATGAACCCCAGAAAGCGCCAGCATGAAACACAGAAACAACATTAGCAGTGATAAGGGTACTTTGATCTAGCAGCATCTTATCTAAACCAAATTCTTGTTGGAAACTTACCAACGAGACAGTACCTCCAATGAAACCCGAGTCATAACCAATGATGATAGCTGCAGATGCAGAAACAAGTGCTACTAAAACAATCTTCCAGTTGTAGATCTCATTTGGAATAGGAATACGAGAATCATCTTCCTTCGCTGACTTAATAGACATCGAATCACCGGTATTCGAAAGCCTTCTCTTTAATTTATTTAATACGCTCTTTCCCATTTTCTGCGGTTTTATTATCTTTAACTCGTTGAACTATAAACTAAATCTCTAGAATATCAGAAAAAACGTCTTATTAAATACTTTTCGATCTTTATGTACTGATCTCCGTTGCGGTAAAATGAATGTGAGACAGGAGGAGTTTTGTCACCACCGGAGTAAAATTTAATATGTTAAAAAATTTCTCGATATTTTTACGAACGAATTACGGGGCATGATACGACCAAACAATGGTTTTCAGTACACAAGGCTGAATGCCGAACACATGTAATCCGGGGTAAAATTCGCAAAACCGATCACACGCTTTCTTGGGGCATCTTAACTACAAGAAAATAAAATCGACATATGGACATAATTGCTCGTCATAATTATTCAATCAGTGGATAAACGATTATCCTAAGCGATTTGCGAAATTTTTTTGTCAGATCGCTTAAATAAAATAGCGTTGATGTGGGGTACTACAAAAATTGCGACTTCCATTACGTGCCGGAAGGGAAGATTCATAACCGTGACTTATGAATGGATAAATTCTATGGCTAAATGATAGACTGTCGTCCCAGAAAATCATTAGGGGCCGAGGCGTGCGCCGAATAAATATTAACCAGCAATATTTTAAATTTTCGGATTTGGGGCCAATTGGGGTGTTTACAGGTTAAGTACAGGTATTTACGTCCCAATGAGCTGCGCTGCACAGGTGATGGCTTCAAGATATGGAAAAGATATACGACTATTCCTCCTCTGAAGATTCTGACACCGACGAGCTTCCTCCGGTACCCGAACTAAACATATATCTGCAAAATTATTCCAACCAATTTGACATGTCGAGCATATTTGTGTATATTCCTTGGAACCCATCGCTCTCGGTGCTCAACCACTTGAAGCTGATTTGCAATAGAACCATTAAACATGTGCACGCTCGGAACCCAGGAGTGAGCAAAAAGTACAATTGGAATATTGTGGGTGCGCCGTCGAAGGGTTTGGACGGACGATTCAGTGTGACTAACAACCAGTTGCTTAGAAGTCACCATATTACACTCTTCCCGAATGTCAGAGGAGAATCGTACAAGATGAAGCAATATATCGAGAATATCAGTGGATCGCTATCCAGTATGAGTATTCCTGCGAGCTTGATCCAAGAGGACACCAAGGAGGCCGAGAGAATTAGCAATCTCAACAGGATCTTGTTCCAGGCCACATCTACGAAAGAAGGGCTTCAGAACAAGGAAAAAAAATACGTTTCCTTGAATTTTGAGCCGAAGTTGAGTTTCTATACCAGTTCCACTACAAACAGCATATTCATCGCTGGTAAAGTTCGCCTCACCCCAGACTCGGCTATATTTTTCAAAAATATAAACCAGATAATCGTTGATAACATCAAATTGCTCGATGTAACAAGCGAACAGTCTCCTATTGAACAGGACTATCACGTCTCCTTGATCCTAGGTGAATTAAAGGGTTTCGAGACAAATCGTGCTGAAGTTGGAAAATTGATCCGGCTCATGAAAGAGTTGGATTTTACGAACGAACTTGATAATATTAACATCAGTATAAATTCGTTAAGGATAAACGAAATATCCTCATCTAGAAACTCCTACGAAGTTCCTCTCAATATATAATAGTTGCATTAAGTTATAGAAACAAGCATTATAAAACGTCATATCCAGTCATATGACTGATCGTACCGAATAACGCGTGGAATTTTCCCATAGCGAAATTAAGTCACTAACATTTCAAGGATTCACATAAGTTCGGTTGTAGATATCCAAGCAATAGAGATATAGGGTAGAAAATGTCTAAGAGATTCCAGAAGAATATCGAGAAGCAATTGATTGATATAGTAAATAGCAGGGGTAACGACAATAGATGTGGTGAATGTGGGTCTGCATATCCGACATGGGCTTCATGGAACTTAGGTGTTCTCTTGTGTGGAAGATGTGCTTCACTTCATAGAAAGGTTTTACCGAAGGACGTTTCAAAAGTTAAGTCTTTGACATTAGATCAATGGACATCCGAGCAAGTGGACTGTTTGAAAAGGATTGGAAATAAGAAGGCCAAAAAGAAATGGAACCCTAAAAGGTTTCCATTCCCTCACGATGATGACGATGATGGGCCTATTGAAGACTTCCTTAAGGATAAGTACATAATGGGGAGATTCCGAGATGATAACTTTGATGCGGTTGAATATGATGATAAAAATAGCAGATATTCGAGTGATGGAGTTTCAACCCCTGTGAGTGGGAACAGGCTGAGATCGAGGCTGAATTCAATGAGGCCAAAGGCTTCGGGTCCTATTCCACCTTTGAGTCATAGGAAGTTAACGACGTTTGAATCGACTCAGTATCCAAAACAGGTGAACACAATATTAAGATATGGGTATTCGAACAGAGACTCTATTCTAGAAGCATTATTGTTAAGTAATGGAAGTATAGAGTTTGCCTTGGATATTTTAGATAACGATGCAAAGGCTAATCCAGCACAAGAAGAGCTTCCACCGGCCTTGCCCACGAGACCGGCCAGATCAACTTCACTTCTGGAAAACAATCCTATGACTTCTTTACTTGGTCAACAGCAACTGCAAACACAACCAAGCAATGATTGGTGGTCCAACTCAAATGCCAGTTCGAATACAAATACTGGTGCTACAATGCCAAGTTTGCCAACCTCAGCAACCGGTGCGTCAATAACTCAACCACAGATCTACCAGTATACGGATCCTGTTACGGGACAGATATCGTATATAGATACAAATGGTCAGCAGTACTTAGATCCTACTAACCAACAACACCAGCAGATGTTGTATCAGCAACAAAATCCGCAATTAGTTGCCCAGCAGACTAATAAACAGGCAATATTATCATTATACAGCCAGCCAAATCAAAGCAATTCTAACTCCACGGTGCCAAATGCACAACAACCGCAGCAGACTGGTTTTGGTTTTCAACAACAGCCACGACAACAGACTGGTTTTGGTTTTCAACAGCAACCTCAACAACCTCAACAGACGGGCTTCGGATTCCAACAACAACCACAACAGACTGGATTCTCAGGATTCCAACCTCAACAGACTGGTTTTGCACAGCAGCCAACAGGTTTTCTGAATTTTGCGCCGCAACAGCAACAACAACAACAACAACAACAAAATCAGTATCAACAAGGTTACTGGGGCTAAATAGTTAACGTAAATATGAAATGTATCATATTCTGTGTATATCAGATATAGGCAAAGGAAAAAAACAACTGCCTTCAGCCAGATTCGAACTGACGATCTCCTCATTACTAGTGAGGTGCCTTGCCAACTTGGCCATAAAGGCAATTTTCAAGGACGCAATATATTACTAGTTTTTGCAATCTAACTTACTATCAATCTTTTGTAGTATAATTTATTGGGAATATTGTCCAAATTGAGCTACATTTCTTTTAGGGTATACGGATCGAATGAACTAGTTTCACAAATTAAATTACCGACTTTATTTCATCTTGTTTAATTGAAGTGGGAAACTCTTAATTATTGAACAATGCAGATTCTACTGGAATTACGATTCGTAAAATTTGGTATGATCTAAAGAAATCCTTCAAGACTGATCGATTTAGCATTTCATTGATTTGTAGTAATGCAAATATAAACCTCCCCTAAACGTCCCCTAAAGTGCATTAGTATTAGGGATAACATTAAGAAGTCATTAATGTACTTATATGTCTTACAGTATAATGCAAAGTTTCAGCCTATCTAAATTTGGTAATGTTAATACTGTTGATGCTTCATAACAATGTTGGATACATTTATTCTAGCAATAATTTATTTGGAAAGGATGGTCATATAATTCTTCGTCTTATAGGCTTTACGGGTAAATTGGCTAAACCTGTGCTAATTTTACAAGGTTGTGGATGTGCTCCAATCGTAAATCTGCAAAATCTCGATTTTGACATACGGCTTTAAATCAATATGCCAAAAGGTGCACTATAGAATATTCAAGTCTTGGCACTATTTGTATACATTGTTCCGATGATAGCAATAATCTTTAAGTTTATGAGTGACATTTCTCTTTTTGGGCTACCTTCTTTTGGGTGGTGTACGGCCTTATATTGTCTTACTCACCTCATAAATACCATCGCTCTGAGCAGGTATTCCTTTGACGTAGTATATTCCCTGTATACGATATGTAGCTTGAAGATGTGTCATATGTACTGTTGATCGGTATTTTCAAACCAATCTGAATGATAGAAATCTAAAGGTGTCAATCATATTGATTGGTTACCACCAAATGACAAAGTGAGTAACAAGCCCGCCCAAAGCAGTAATCTTGCATGCAACAGCACTAACGGTTAGAATTGTATTCTGGGAGTTGTTCATGTTCTTGCCGATCGGTTTAATTACATATGGTTGATACAGTCTCTATTCTAATCGAAAAAGTTGACCCTGCGTATACGAACAAGAAATGGAGAATAAAGATGGGAATAATACAGCATGCAGCATCTGACATGTAGGTAACCAATAAAAAAGGAAATGGCTTGTGATAGTAAGCTTCTATAGCTGACTATCAACTCCAGCATAGGATCGATATAAAATATCTGCCCTAAGTGGGCCATGATGTATCTGATCTTGATAGAGAATATTCTATGTCCTAATACCCCTTATCGTTCCAGAAGCTACAAAAATATCTAGGTTTTTATCTGTAATCTACATTTGTTGTGTAAGTGCTACATGAGAGATGCATCTAACAGATTAAGATTTTGGTCAGATCCAGTTACTTAGACGGAGTTATTATTCTCAAGGCACCTGCGTTTAGAATTAGGTTTTACGCACATACTATGAGTGAGAAATCCTGGCTCCACACATTATTTTAAGAGCATACAGTAACCTAGAAATTAGATATATCGGTTTACATCTAAGAGAAATTTGGCATAGGCTTAAGGTATTATTCGCAAGTTTATATTTCAATAGTCCATTACCCAAAAGTTCGTATTACTATACAAATAGGTATAATTTCGCCAGGGCTTTTACGGGACTCTTTATGTTTGGTTTTTTTGCTAATAAGTAAACGTCGATGTTAGCGTAATGTTAATGCCGTAGAATTTGGTGTAGCGTAGATGCATATTCCTGGTTACTAGAGTCAAAAAATGTTTTCTCTTTATAAATGTCATACTAATTCCTTCAATTGGACTCATACATCGAAAGCACTTTTCCTTCAATATGTTAACCATTATGTACATTTTTTCAAGTATAATAATTGCAACCGCTATAATGCGTTCACTAGTGAGTGGATCTATTGTTCTTAATGGTACATCAGAGTATATTCTACAATTTGACAAAGCGTGGGAAGAATCTAATAAAAACTGGGATGATTATATCCAGTTTAAAAACTTTTCTTGCAATAAAACCGACTGTTGCATTACGGGTGCAAACTGCCTGAATTTTACCAAAGATTTTACATTTCCCGTTGAAGATGCTTTGATAGTATTAGTACTGTGCTTTGGTCCTCCTTATTATTCTTATATTGAGGACAAGATCGCTGGTCTGTACGGGCCAGCTGGATCGATTGACCTGTTTGATTATTAAGTTATTGTGTTTCGAGCTTTAAATAAGTGTATATGTGTAATGCAAGGCTTGTAACTAAAAACGTTAATGTAATTAAGGTACGATAACTTTTATACATGTATGGTCGTAATTAGCTTTACGCTTTCTCCAACTTTAGACAAGGGCTTACTTCGTATATCCAAAACTACACTGTTAATATACTTAATTGAAGTAAGCCATATATATAAGAGCAATGCTTTGTTCCCTTCAAGCTCCATTGATTATATCAATAATAGTAATTATGTGGTTTAGTTCGTACTTTTTACCACTTATTCTTCTAATAAGTACATCCGAAAAGTCACTAGTATTGTCCTGTTCGGGGGACGTTTTACCCTACGATAAGTTAGATGTTGACGATTGGATAATTTCCAGTAAATATATTGAAAGAAGATATCCATATTTTACATTTTCCTGCAATTCTACTATGTGCTCCGTAAGAGAAATGGACTACTTGTTTCATGATATCGCTTACACATTTCGCATCAAAGACATTGTGAAATCGTTAATGTTTATGTACGGTTCTGATTATATTGAACTAGTTGAGTACGACGAAACTGGACTTGGAGACAGCTATAGTGATGGTGATGATGATGACGATGATGACGATGGCTATGGCGAGAGTACAAAATCAGGCACGGCAAGTGATAATGGTAATGATGAAGATGATACTAAGAGTTCGGCAAATAAAAGTCGATCCAACTCCCTTTCTCCTCAAATTTATATTACCTTATTACTCTGTCTCTTGACTATATGCAATTACTCCTAAGTTTCCAATTTGAAATAGGTTTCTCTTTATAATTTGAAATATAGTTAAAACTTTTGCACCTTCGTAAATCTGCAACCAAACAGCTGGCAACATACGATCTAAGCAACTCATGTCATTCTTATTTATTGAACATCTCCAACTTGCCACATTATAGTATAAATATTATAATGCCGGGTATGAGGGACATATATGCTCCGCTTATTGTACTATCATTTTACGAGCGGAGACTCTGTTAGTGAAGTTCCACAAGACTCTTGACACACGATATCATTTACCATGACTTAGGATATAGTATCTCATACTGCTTCTGTCCCTGGTATTTCTCTTACAACTCTCAACAACACTAAGTCGTCCTATTGTTTGTACCCATTATAGTTACGGTGCGTGGGCTGGGCTTTGCCCATGGCTGCAAAATAACTAACGAACAAAATACGAGACATACGACATTCTCGGAAATCCCCTTAAGAATACACAACTATCCCAAATCCACGTAGAATAATTCTTTTTAACTCCACTGGACCCTTGTTCTAGGATCTATATTCTAGTAAACTTTCATCCATTATAGATGGTATACGATTTTGTGTCAATTTTGATTTTGTGTAATTTTCGAATGCTGCGAGTTGCTTCTAGAATTTTCGGGATTAATCGGTATACTTCTAGTATATTCTAGTTGCTGTTGGCATGCTCATCCCGTTGGTATATAAAGATAGAAAGCAGTTGGTTTTAGTTAAAGTTTAGCAATTACCAAACAATTAATAAGTCATAATGGATGAATCACAGTTTACAGATAATGCTTTGAAGATCATTACAAATGCCACTCAGTTAGCTAAGGATAATGCTCACACTCAGTTAACTCCGTTGCACTTTTTAGCAGCAATGGTACCAACAGATGATGAAAATTCTACACAATACCTTAAAACATTGATTCAAAAGGCTAGATATGAATGGCCTACATTTGAAAGAAATGTGAATAAGCACTTAGTTAGATTGCCATCACAAACTCCTGCACCAGATGATATTGGGCCCAGTTATGCTACAGGCCAGGTGTTGACCAATGCAACAAAAATAAAATCACAACAGAAGGATAATTATGTTGCTCAAGATCACTTGTTATTAGCATTGTTGGATGATAGTTCGATAAAAGATATTTTCAAGGAAAGTGGAATTAACGTTGATAGCATCAAGACACAGGCCATTGAATTGAGAGGAAATCAGAGAATTGATTCAAGACAAGCTGACTCCTCGTCATCTTATGAATTTTTGAACAAGTACTGTGAAGACTTTACAGAAAAGGCCAGAGAAGGTAAAATAGACCCCGTAATAGGTAGAGAAGAAGAGATCAGAAGGGTCATTAGGGTCTTGGCCAGAAGAACCAAATCGAACTCTGTTTTGATTGGTGAACCTGGTGTTGGTAAGACATCTATTGTTGAAGGGGTTGCGCAAAGAATCATTGATGGCGATGTTCCAAATATTTTAGCCAATTCCCGTTTATTTGCCTTAGATTTGGGTGCTTTGACGGCCGGTGCAAAGTACAAAGGTGAATTTGAAGAAAGAATTAAAGGTGTCTTGAATGATATTGAAAAATCTAATGAAATGATTATTCTTTTCATAGACGAAATTCATATGTTAATGGGTGATGGTAAATCAGATGCGGCTAATTTATTGAAACCAATGTTGGCTAGAGGTACTCTTCATTGTATCGGTGCAACCACTTTCACGGAATATCGTAAGTTTATCTCAAAGGATGGTGCTTTCGAAAGAAGATTCCAAAAAATCGACGTTCCTGCTAGTACTGTTCCTGAAACTGTTGCTATATTGAGAGGTTTACAACCAAGATATGAAATCCATCACGGTGTTCGTATTTTGGACAGTGCTTTAGTTACTGCGGCTCAATTAGCTTCGAGATATTTAACTTACAGAAGTTTACCTGATTCAGCTGTTGATCTTATAGATGAAACTGCTGCTACGGTTGCCGTTGCAAGAGATTCTAAACCAGAAGAATTAGATACTTTGGAAAGACACTTACACTTAATTGAAGTTGAAATTAATGCATTAGAAAGAGATGTTGAAGCTGATGCAGATTCCAAAGACCGCCTTGAAGTTGCTAAAAGAAAGAAGGCTGAATTAGAAGAGCAATTAGGCCCATTAAGAGAAAGGTTCAACCAAGAGCGTGCAGGCCATGAAGAATTAATTACAGCAAAGCGTAAGTTAGATGAATTAGAGATCAAGGCACTGGACGCTGAAAGAAGACATGACACTGCAACCGCTGCAGATTTGAGATACTTTGCTATTCCAGATGTTGCTAAACAAATTGAAGATTTGGAAGTAAAGGTAGCGGAAGAAGAACAGTCCTTAGGCTCAGAAGCAATGTTAAAGAATGCTGTCAGTAGTGAACAAGTTGCAGAAACTGCCGCTAGATTAACAGGTATTCCCGTAACAAAATTGTCTCAAGCTGAGAATACTAAGTTGATCAATATGGAAAAGGAATTGTCTTCAGAGGTTGTCGGTCAAAGTAATGCTGTTAAGGCTGTCTCCAATGCTATCAGATTAAACCGTTCGGGATTAGCAAATCCAAATCAACCAGCTTCCTTCTTGTTCTTAGGTTTATCTGGTTCAGGTAAAACCGAATTGGCTAAGAAGGTTGCTGGATTCTTATTTGCAGATGAAAGAGCGATGATAAGAATTGACTGTTCCGAATTAGGAGATAAATGGTCTGCTTCTAAGTTGTTAGGTGCAGCCCCAGGATATGTTGGATACGAAGAAGGTGGTATTTTAACCGAAGCCTTATTACGCCGTCCATATTCAGTGGTTTTATTTGACGAGGTCGAGAAAGCAGCTCCTGAAGTTTTAACAATTTTATTACAAATTTTGGACGATGGTAGAGTCACTTCTTCCCAAGGTAAGTTAGTCAATTGCTCCAATTCAATCATTATTATGACTTCGAACATTGGTGCAGAACATATCAATGCCTCAAAGGGCTCCAAGATTGACGACACTACTAAAGAATTAGTGATGAATGCAGTTAGGGCTAATTTCAGACCTGAATTCTTAAATCGTATTTCAAGCACAGTCATTTTCAATAGATTGTCCAAGAAGGCTATTTCTAAGATTGTCAAGATCAGATTGAATGAAATACAAGAGAGATTTGCGGCAAATGGTAAATCTTTAGCTTTGGAGGTTGATGATGCTGCATTGGAATACTTGTGCAACAACGGTTATTCTTCCGATCTTGGTGCAAGACCACTTAACCGTCTTATCCAGAGTGAAATATTGAACCGTTTGGCTGTGTTATTATTAAAGGGTCAAATCAAGGACAAGGAAGTGGCTAGAGTTACTTTAGGTTCTAAAGGTTTGGAAGTCTTACCAAACCATGAGGCAGAAGATGAAGATATGGCTGATGTCCAAGTCGACGACTGGAAAGATAGTGAAGATGAAGATGAATTGGACTCAACTCCTCTTGACTAAGTTCGACAATGATTTTTCTTTTTAATTCTTGTGTATATAGTAGTAATAATTTCAAAGTATATTTAATAAATAATGATTTTAATAATTTTAAATCGAACGAATTTTGTAGCGACACTTTAATACATACCTAAGATCTTTTGTTTAGTCTGTGTTCGATAGGCTGTACAATAACTAAACAGAATACAAACATAATCATATTAGTCATTATGATTGCAACTAACCTATTTGGGAAAATATTTTGTGTCCTATGGTCACGTGATTTATGGCTAAAAAAATTTCACTCATCTCACATCATCAAATATATCACACCCTAATATACTTAATATATTTCTTCTTAATCATTCTTTTTAATTAGTAATTATGGCTAGTAGAACACAATTTGAAAATTCTAACGAAGTTGGTGTCTTTTCCAAGTTAACCAACTCGTACTGTCTTGTCGCCGTTGGTGGTTCAGAAAACTTTTATTCTGCTTTTGAAGCCGAATTAGGTGATGTTATCCCAATTGTTCACACAACTATTGCTGGTACCCGTATAGTCGGTAGAATGACTGCTGGTAACAGACGTGGTTTGTTGGTTCCAACTCAAACAACCGATCAAGAATTAATGCATTTAAGAAACTCCTTACCGGATACTGTCAAAATTCAAAGAGTTGAAGAAAGATTATCAGCTTTAGGTAATGTTATCTGCTGTAATGATTACGTTGCGTTAGTTCACCCGGATATTGAAAGAGAAACCGAAGAATTAATTGCTGATGTATTAGGTGTTGAAGTTTTCCGTCAAACTATTGCTGGTAATGTTTTAGTCGGTTCGTACTGTTCCTTGTCCAACCAAGGGGGTTTAGTGCATCCACAAACATCTATCCAAGATCAAGAAGAATTGTCATCATTATTACAGGTTCCATTAGTTGCAGGTACTGTTAACAGAGGTTCTGCAGTTGTTGGTGCCGGAATGGTTGTTAACGATTGGTTAGCTGTTACCGGTTTAGATACCACTGCTCCAGAATTATCTGTTGTTGAATCTATATTTAGATTGCAAGATGCTCAACCAGACTCTATATCTGGTAACTTGAGAGATACTTTGATCGAAACTTACTCATAAGCATAATGATTCGTCTGTTTCGTGGCGAATAGTGTTTTGTTCTACGATTAGTAAAAAGTAAGGGCATTCCTTACCATTGGGATTGTGGATTAGCATTCAATCATATATATTTTACTTCTGGATTAGAATTGGAGTATTCTCTTCAATCCTCACAATTTACTGGGCATTCGAGAATTCATTTTTTTAGTTTTCTCCATTCTAAAGTTTCCCTGTTCGCTGATACCTATTTCGAAGTCTCTTAGTATCATATAATCTGTATATTAGATTCTATATAATAACAATAAATGGATAATGGTGAATACGTTTAGTAGTGGTAGTAGTAGCTCTATATGCACGTGCACGCGTCGATCTTTGGTGAAGAAATCACAAGAGAACCCAGCATATATAGATTTTCAGATTGATTCACTAGGCTTATTTATTGACTGATATCCCAAATCTATAAAACCATTGACAATTGGATAATGGACTACTCTGGAATTCCACGTGGTTCAATTAGGGGGGATGCTTTAAAGAAATTAGCAAAATTATCGGTTGAAAATTCCCCTTCGAGTTTACAAGAAGCTAGTGGAGAATCAACTAATGATTTCTTTAATTTGCTATCCCATACGACAAGAAATGAAAAAACGCAGCTATCAGATGTTGCTATTTCTCCTAAAGAATTTGAGGTTTTGATTGCATTATGTGAATCAACTGCATCAGACATGAAGTTCCCTAAGCAAGCAAAAATACTTTTAGACAAAATTAGATTATATTTATTAGAGTTACCAAGTCAGAAGTTTTCCAGTTCCGTATTTGACTTAACATATAAATCTTCTCCCTGGAATTTACTCGGTGAAAAATTAACTACTGCTGCAATCAATCTAGGTAAAAAATTCAATTCTGTTTTTCTTGATAAGGTGCTAAATTTACTTGTTGAATTTAACGAAAAATTGTTTCATAACAAGACATTCGAATTATCCAGCTATTTGACCCTCTTAGGGTTTATTGAAGGTTTGGCTAGAAATGCGTGGATCTTTCATCATTCAGAAAAGTCATTCAACACGTTTATTACTTTGGACACCTGTATTGATAATTTTGAGTTTCTCAATGAAGCAGAGATTTATTCAAACGTTTTGTATTCGCAACCGACTGAGTATTCTTCGTTGATAGATCGTGATATTATTTGTGATTTCTCACCAATCCTTTATATTGAACGTTTAAGCAAGTTGCAGTGCTCCATTATTGATTCCATTCTTGGTAACACTCAGACCTCTTTATTGGAATACCTATTAAAAAAAGCTTCTAGACAGTATGAGGATAATGACTCCAGTTACGATCTGAACAGCTCTGCAGGGTTAATGGATGTTTCCGAATTTCATATGAACATTATTGATAAATTGTCCTACATGGCGGTACAAAAAATGGAATTCTTGGATAGGGGTGAAACATATATTGTGTATTCCACCTTCAATAGATTGAAAACTGGATACTTGGCGAAGTCTATTAATTTACATATAATTGGTTGTGGTATGTTTACTGATAATGTTGATATTTCAATTGCAAAGAAATTCTTGAAAAATTGCTTATCTATCTATGATGTTATGTTAGATATCAACTTAGGCTTAAGTGTTATTCAATTGGGATCCCTTTTAGTATTCAAAGATGAACAAGTTGGACCACCGATTACAAGAGCTTTTACTTCTTTGGTAGCAAACCCCAAATTTGATACTACTTATTGCCTGATTTCTTCGAAAAGTGTGGGTTTAGCAAGTAAATGTTTTTCTCAGGATGCTGTTGTTACTACTATTTATGCATTAACGAATTTATTGTTTATTGGAGATGACGGTGTCCAAGCTAGAAATTCAGTCAAGAGAAATACTGCTTTAGGAAGACCCCCTGATAACTTTGCAGCTAGAGACTTAAACATATCTAGAAGTGTGTCTAGATTCACATCAATGAATTCGCTTGTTAACGAAAAAGCTGATCCTAGTCTTCATGATAAAGCATCAGTAGGGGATTATGAAGAATCAGATTACATGAGAGTATGTGAAAACGCCATTATTGCAATTATTGATATTACCCAGGCTTGTAACGATGAAACGATTAGTACTCTAGCAGTTACTATCCTATCCCAAAAAACTGCGAAATTAAATTCGAGAATAGGTGATATATTATTGAGAGGATTAGTATCATGTGCTCCATTTTTGCCTAATCGTGAATTTATTATTTTATCTAGACTATTAAATAAGTTATCTCTTGATGCACTAGAAGGAGGAAATTCTCGTCTATTAAATTCTTTGATCAGAGCAAGAATTAGTTTGTCCCACAAACTTAAACCTGATAATCCGTTATTCAAGATTTACTTACATGAGATTTTGCAAGCAATTATCAGTAAAGGTGATGTTAGAGTGTTGGAGCATCATAGACCACATACTGAGATTAGCGAAATTGGTGATCAGATCGGGATCTATTTGCAGCCATTAGCAGAACTCTTGCCGGATGTTCATAAAGGAAAGTCTCCATTAATTATCAATGATACATCCACAATTAATTTATTCAGAAATATTTGGTTTAATATGGTGGTTCATGGCTATTCGACTAATTCAAAGAATGTAAAAAAGTACAGAGTCGAATTAGAAAGAATCGCATATAATTCACCGCCATTGGCTTCTGAATTATCGTGGGATAGAACCGAAACTTCTTTGGAATTAAATACTGTTTTGAGAAGAGGTTCATCAAACCACAATGTCAAGGATCACAGACATATTATGGGTGACATATTTGAAGTAAATAGGACTATGTCTTACCCTAAATTGATGTTCGTGTCAGCTACTGTATTCGTTGAATCATTAAGAGTTAAATCGGGTGATTGCTCGACTATTTTGCAGTATTATTCTGATCCATCTATTAAAACTAGTAGTATCGATAAGTACGTTGGAAACATTTCCAACAAAATTGTGGAAGATTTTGTTTCTCTAGTCAACAATGGAGGTAATGCGCAATTCACTTCAGAGAATATTGCTGAACAGCTAACATGTATGTTGGCACTCTGTTGTCATAGAATTGAAGATTTGCAGGATGCCGCTTTACAGTCTTGTGATACCTTGATCAATAAAATTCCTTCTTCTTTATGCCATCACAAAAGTTTGTTCGCCTTATTTGATTTACTAACGCTCCTTTTTGAAAGCATTGTTGACGCTGATGAAAACCAATATGAGCCCAAAACATCATTCCGTGCCGATAGAACTGGCATACAATTACTTTTATCAGATTCATACAATTGGCGTAATGAAACCTTCAAACGTTTCCATGACAAAGCAAAGAGTTGGTTGAAGTTGATCTTAGTCAAATGTAATGTTGATGTTAAGGCGTTAATTCAATCTTATATTTCTGGCTTAGAGACATTTCAGTCTGATGACAAAGTTCAGTATGGTGTCTCGTTTGCTTTAGAAATGGCTGGTAGCGTTTTAGCTAATGATAGGGAATTGTCTAATGTTTCAAAGTTTGTACCTCAAAATTTTAACACTTTACCTGTATTTGTCTCCCAGTTAAGCTGGAGAAGTAATATTGTTACTAAACTAATGGACAAAGTTCCACTACACTCTCAAGATGATACTGAAAATGCCTTCAATACTATGCGTCAAAAAGTAATCGAAATTAAGTGGAAGATTTCTGATAAGCAATCTAATATATCCAATGATGAGACGATTGACTTGTTAAGTGAACTTGCTGGCTTAGCGCTTGTTTCTTATAATAATTCCGCTGAAATAATCAGATATCTTGTTGAGATCCCATTTGCTATATTTGAGTCGTCTATTATGAAAACGGCGACCGGCATCTGGTTTGCTGTTATGAAGGAACGTCCTAACTTATCTGTTATACTCTTGTCTGAGATTGCAAAGAAGTGGGAGTCATCAATTAAAATGAAACAAGGCTTATATTCCACGAAACATGATATTTGCAATCCTGAATTTGCAAAAATGGAATATAGCCCGAGTGACCGGAAAGTAGTAAACAGACTTGGTAATGCTACTAGCAAGAGCTTTGATCCTCACTTGCAAATAATTAAATTATTTGCGTCAAATTTCGAAGCAACATTATATCAAAGTGATCACTTACTTAAAGTATTTACTAGATTCGTTGACTTTGGTTTAAGGGAATTGGCTATTGCAAGTCTCCACCCATTTGCTAGAGTTGTGAGATTTGAATTAATTAGATTCGCCTTCCATGTTTTAAATTATCATATCAAATTAGGCTCCAGAAGTGTTTTCAGTCTCACTGAAGCAATATTTGATGCGACTTTGTCCTGGTTTAGACAAAGGGCAAGCTACCCATTTGGGTCTAATCTACTCAAAACTAAAGCCGATTATAGTTTATTGCAAGAAACTGCTCGTCTAGTATCGCATACAAGCACTATGAAGAATAATGAATTGGAGTCTAAGAGAGCACTCATTATGTTTTTCCTTGATGATGAAATTTCAAAAATTTCTGTTTGGTTAAACCCAATCAGTACTCGTGATTTAAAAGGAAAATTTACTTCCAATCATATCAGCGGTATTGACATTTCAAACGCATATAAGTTGGATCCAATATTAGCAGTTAATTTAGCTCTCAGATACAAACTTAAAGATTTGGATCAAATCTTACAGCATTTGATTACAGAAAACCCCTTGCCAGCTATATCTTATCCCGATGCCGTACAATACTTTATTGGTATAAATAGTAGAACTAATATGCCTTCTCATCACTTATTATTTTGGGAACCATTGTCGCCCATTGATGCAATAACATTGTTCTTACCTCCATTTGGTAGCAATCCGTACATTCTTCAATATACCATGAGATCACTAGAGCATCATGACACGAACTTGACGTTCTTCTATGTTCCACAGATTGTTCAGTCGTTAAGATTCGATGCAAAGGGCTATGTTGAAAGATTCATTCTAGAAACTGCAAAAGTTTCGCAATTATTTGCTCACCAAATTATTTGGAATATGTTAGCAAATAGTTACAAGGACGAAGATTCAACAGATCCGGATTCATTGAAGCCAGTCCTAGATAGAATCCAGGATTCAATGCTCAAATCCTTGAGTAAAGAAGATTTTTCGTTCTACGAAAAGGAATTTGGCTTCTTTAATGAAGTCACAAGTATTTCTGGTAAATTGAAACCATACATTAAGAAGTCTAAGGCAGAAAAGAAGGTAAAAATTGATGAAGAAATGGCTATTATTGAGGTCAAACCAGGCGTATACTTGCCAAGTAACCCTGATGGAGTGGTTGTAGATATCAACCGTAAATCAGGTAAGCCTTTGCAATCACATGCAAAGGCTCCGTTCATGGCTACTTTCAAGATAAAAAAGGATGTTGATGATGTGGACGAACTGGGTGAACAGGTGAAAGACCAAATTGAAAAATGGCAAAGTGCTATCTTCAAAGTTGGTGATGATTGTCGCCAGGACGTTTTGGCACTTCAATTAATCTCTGTTTTCAGAACTATTTGGTCCAATGCTGGCTTGGATTTGTTTGTTTATCCTTACAGAGTAACTGCAACTGCGCCAGGTTGTGGTGTTATCGATGTACTTCCAAACTCGGTATCGAGAGATATGCTTGGTAGAGAAGCTGTTAATGGCTTATACGAATATTTTACTACTAAATTTGGCCCTGAAAACTCTATTGAATTCCAAAGGGCACGTAACAACTTGATTAAGTCTTTGGCGGCGTACTCGATCATCTCGTACATTCTTCAATTCAAGGATCGTCACAACGGTAATATTATGTACGACGATCAGGGTCATGTGTTGCATATCGATTTTGGTTTCTGCTTCGATATAGTTCCTGGGGGAGTGAAATTCGAAGTTGCACCATTCAAGTTGACCCACGAAATGGTCATGGTGTTGGGAGGGCGTTCGGACACCCAAGCATTCCAATGGTTCGAAGAGCTCTGCGTGAAGGGATTCTTGGCGTGTAGGCCCTACATGGAAACTATTGTCAGAACCGTGAATCCGATGCTCGAAAGCGGCTTGCCATGCTTTAAACCGCATACCATCAAGAAATTGAGATCGAGGTTCGTTCCTCGCAAGTCTGAGAAGGAGGCGTCGCTCTATATGAGAAGCCTCATCAAAAAAGCGATGGAATCGTACTACACCAAAGGTTATGACGAGTTCCAGCGTATCACAAACGGGATTCCTTATTAGTATCATTTGCAATACTGATCTAACGCTTAGTTATTATTATATAATATGTACTTGTAATATTTAATACTTTTTTTCTTCTTATGCATGCTCCAAGCACTGCTCGAATGATACCCAGTCACCAGTTGAGTTCTTATCACTACCCCTTTATCTTTGATTCCCATCCTCCGCTTCCCTATAAAACCTTCCTTTCAAAGTTTTCCCTTCAAAGCCTTCCCTTCAAAGCCATTCCCTGCTTGATACTTCTCTTTACATACAAGTACATTGCGACACTGCTACTGCTACACTTTTTGCAACTTTAAGAATTCTGCATCCCATCATTTTCTGTGAGTCCGATTCATCTTCCACCTCTACCTGCCTTCTATCTACACCTCCTCCGCCAATTTACATTTCCATGCACGAGCTGAAATGTTCCTTAAACGTAATCCACCTAATATACAGTGTCTTCTATTGTGGCGCAATACTACAAATCTTGTATAGCCTTTTTTATAGGGCTATACCAGATTTTCACCAAGAAATCACTATTACGTGTACTCGTCTACGAAGCCATCGGCTCAGCACACCACCAAGAACACAATGATATTCTAAAGTCTGGTGTAAAGGATCTATTTTGCATGGCTTTGCTTAATCTGTGATATTTATAAATAGCAGTTGTATTTTTCCTGTATATTAGTATTCTCACACAAAACGTTCATTACTTCGAAGTATTATAGATGTTGATTTGCTTAATATATGGACTACTGAGAATTATTGGTATATAATCATCAGTTAGTATACAAATTGAGATCGAACCGGAAGCAGTTCGTTTAGAGAAGGAAATTTGTTGGATTTGAAATAATTTGCTTTATTAGGAGACTTACAAAAAGCATATTTAACCAGTGAATAAACATTCCTTGGTACCTAACTTGAGTAGCAAATCGGATAAAAATTTGATAGGATTTTAGAGAAAAAGTATCAGGTAACACGTTTAGTATATTTTTCAATAGGAATATATTGATATTATTTGCATTGATTGTTTGCATTTAGCAAGGAATTTTTGATAGTTACGGTGGATCGAGATCTTTTTCCGCCGCATAGAGAGAAACGAAAAAATGAAGTGGAACATTATATGGGTGCTAGTCACTATGATGGTCAGTGTGACTATGGGGGCTAGTGATGATAAAGATAAGAAGGGTAATTATATAAAATCGACGTCGTTGTTGACATGTATGGAAGATTCGTTATTTACTGCGTCGCATTTTGATGTGGTGTTTTATCCAGACAGTGGGAAGGTTTTTTTCGATGTTACCGCTATTTCCAATATTGATGGTAAGATCGCGGCGCAGATCGATGTTATTGCGTATGGGCTTAATGTCTTGACGCGTAATATCTCTTTCTGTGACTTGGGTTTCGAAACTATTTGTCCGTTAACAAGTGGGCATATGGAATTGGACTCAAACTACCATCTTTCTAAATCTATAACAAAAGAAATCCCTGGTGTCGCGTACACTATTCCAGATTTAGATGCCAGAGTTAGAGTGGTTGTGTATGATGCAGAAGATAAGACAAAACAATATGCTTGTGTCGAAGCTGTCTTAAGTAACGGTAAGACTGTTCAAACCAAATACGCTGCATGGCCTATTGCAGCTATTTCCGGTTTGGGGGTTATCACTTCGGGTGTCGTTTCAATCATTGGTCATTCGAACACTGCAGCGCATATTGCCTCGAACTCGATGTCTTTATTCGTCTATTTCCAGTCATTAGCGATAACTTCGATGATGGCTGTCGCAATGGTTCCACCAATTGCAGCTGCGTGGGCCCAAAATTTCCAGTGGTCTTTGGGTATTATTAAAGTCGGTTTCGTCCAGAATATTGCAAACTGGTATATGCAAGCAACAGGTGGTACACCAACCGACATTCTTGCGTCATCTTATTTGTCGATTTCCGTTCAAAAGAATAAATTTAAGAGATCAGCTGAATATCTCTTAAATACTTTAATTGACAAGCAAAGAGCTAATGATCATTTAACTCTTTTCAAAAGAGCCAGTATTTCTCTTGATTCCGACGATTTTGGTTACGGTGATTCGTTAGATTCATCATTATACTCCGTTAATGAAAAAGATGATGATTTATCTTCAAAAATTTTGGTTTTAAGAGGTATCCAAAGAATTTCCTATTTAGCAGGCATTGAAATAACCAATTTGTTCATGACTAGTATCATGTTTTTGTTGTTTGTCGCCTTTGTTTTAGTTGTCTGTATATCTGCATTCAAGGCTATTATGGAAATTTGTATTCGTGCTAAATTTATAAATGAAGGTAAATTTAACGAGTATAGACAGCAATGGCGTTATATCATTAAAGGTTCCCTTTATAGATTACTTTTGATTGCATTCCCACAATTATCTGTAATGTGTATCTGGGAATTTACTACTCATGATTCTGGTGGAACTGTTGTTGTTGCTGTTTTCTTATTGGCAGTAGTTTTGATTTTGTTGGTTCAAGCGGCCATTAGGGTCTACTTATTAGGTAGAAGATCCGTCAGACAATTTAAAAATGCGGCCTATTTATTATATGGTGATGGAAAATTCCTTAATAAGTTTGGTTTTGTTTATGTTCACTTCCGTGCCGATTGTTATTATTTTGTGATGATCAATTTAATTTACATCTTCTTAAAATCATTATTTGTCGCTGTTTTACAAAAACAAGGGAAGGCACAATCGGTTATAGTATTTGCCATTGAACTCATCTACTGTATCCTTTTGTGTTGGGTTAGACCCTTCATGGATAAAAGAACGAATGCATTTAACATTACTATTTCAGTTATTAATGCTATCAATGCACTTTTCTTCATGTTCTTCTCGTACATTTTTAGACAACCACATATCGTTGCTTCTGTTATGGCTATTGTTTATTTCATTTTGAATGCTGTATTTGCATTGTTCTTATTATTATTCACCATTATTACATGTGTTTTGGCCTTGGTTTATAAGAATCCAGATACAAGATATCAACCAATGAAGGATGACAGAGTTTCATTTTTACCAAGGTTCGATCGTAAGAGTAAAGGTGACAAAGATATGAATAAAACCCCACAAGATGGAGATGACTTGGAATTAATGGCATTGGGTGCTACAGCTATGAGAGGCCATGAAAATGGTGGTAAGCCAGCCATTTATGACGAAGATGAATCTGTATATGATGAGGATGCATTTTCGGAACAAAATAACAAACACCAGAACACTTTTAATTCTAACCTGTACTCTGATAGTGGAGGCAATAGAGACTCGTATTATTTAGAATCAATTGAACCAACTCAGCCAACCTCAACTATTGTTGGTAACCCGAACGGTGCTATGGGTAAGTACAATACTGCTTATGGTAACACCGACAATGCAAATGGGAATAGAGTAAACTTCATATGATATGATCTTTTCAATGAAATAGTACTGATGATCTAATACTATTTCTTCATTTTTATAAGTGCTTTCTAGCTATGTATTTTAAAGGTTTTATATTCGAATTGTAAAAAATGTATGTTTTATTTATATTTAAAATCTTAATCAAGACAAAAGCGTGGTTTCCCAAATATGCTATAGTGGAAAATATTATACCATGTTATCTTATCACAGTTTTCGTCATTGCTGAATATGGACAGCCGTTTAAGTAAAGAGGTATCATCCACATCTTCAATGTAGTTATGTGACTTATTCGCTGCATTATCGTCAATCTTAAAAGGTGAATATATGACTTGTGAATACCATTTCTTTCGTGGAGTTGCATTCATTGAATCGGCAAATTTAACTAAGGAAGCCGGAAACAGAAAGCCGCCCTCTGGCTTTCGGAGGCTTCGATTTTTCAGTTTTTCCAGATAGCCTGCTATACCTAGTTTTCTAAGTCTGGATGAAGGGAATGAATTACCGTGCACAGTTTCTTCTTCATCTTCTTCGTTATTAGGTTTAAAAATCTTTTTCAAACCATCGAAATTGTTTATAATAGGACTTTGCTCTGGATCTTCCAATGTGTCTTTAATATCTCCTAATATTTCTGGTATTTCGCCAAGCTTGTCTTGTAATTTATGGATTTTCGACTTTGCTTCAATATTAAAACGTTCTGAATTGCTAAATCGTTCTCCTGCGAACTTATAGACTGTACCATTTATTAACTGAGCTGCAGAATATAGTATATCACCTGCTTCTTTTATCGCTTGATTAGCGTTCAAATGTTCTGATAAATCCTGATTATCTTGTCTCAGGTGCAAGTCGACTAAATGGTGTCGAGTTCTGGAAAGTTTTGCTATATCATAGAATGCTGGAAATAGGTGAATGGTCTGTTTATCTTGAACTTTTAAGCAATAACTTTCATCCATGTTTTTATTGTTTGTTGTACAAAAGACTGATTGAATTAAACTAGCATAGTTGATTTTGTCAATCCAGTTGTATGCAAACGAATCAAAGAATGTTGAGACACTGGCCTTCTGTTTATTTCTTGTTATATAATTTTTGATGTTCATTATTGTTCCTGATGAAGCTTTAAAATCATCACTCTTACCGCTATTGAATAGGAAAACCATCAAAGGTTTATTTTCGCTGATACATTTTCTGAATATTGGCAACTTGGAGGCCGGAACTTCCAAGATTCCATTCGAAAAAACAGATTCTAAACCATTCTTACTTGAATTAAAATGAGAAGTAACATATGCCTTTGGGATAACTGCATAAAAATTGACCAACTTCATATACTGAGGTAAGTTAAACGGTGCACTCCTTTGGATAAGCTCCACAAATCTATTCTGAGCCCTCTTGGGAATACTTAGATTATCGGTTGTATTGAATATGAATAAGTTCTTGGAATCCTTGGGAATGACGATATTTTGATATTTATGTGTCAAATTGAATAAATGGCTATCTTGATTTAAATATTCGAGTCCTAGCTTTGTTAAAATACCCGGTTTTAATAAATTTCGAGGCACCAATATCAATTTGTCAGCAATATCTTCATCTTTATCGAGCATTTCTTCATTGATAAATGGGGACATTAATGATTTTAGTTCTATTTCGGAGTTCTTCTTCATCCGTCTTAGGCTGCGAAGATTTATTCTTGAAGGGAAATCTATTCCAAGCTTCCGATAATCTAAAGCTATTGAACATCCTAGGTTGATCAAACATAAGAATATAACTAATTCGTTTAATTTCACCATGATCTATATTGTTGAATATAAATTATAAATCTATGTTAAAATGTACAATTATAGTAATATACAATTGTTTTGTGATTGTAGCCGGAACCACAAAAAGTTGCAAAATTTTGCGATTGTAATTTTTTTTTATAGGTACACAATAATTTTATTTCGTCCTCTAACTTGCATTGGATTATGAATCTCATACATCTCTCCATTTTCATTAAGCAAATACTCTTTCAAAGGCTGGTTGGAGCCCGGGCTAGTCGGCTCTATATATGGTACTGGCCTGTTTTGTATTGTCTCGTTGTAGGTACTGTCTACACCTTCGTTACTGTAATCAAAGTTTATATCTTGGAGTAGGTTTAAGTTTGAGATATAATATGTAGTCAATAACATGACGAGATTACTCAACCATAAACAGAACGATACTATAATAAAGCCTGCAGCAGCTTTTCTCATGGTACAGATAGATTCATTTGCGCAATTGGAACTAGGTATTAATACTGCTATGGCAATAACAAAAGAAACAAAGGTCATGATGGCCGCCACAAGGCAATAAAAGCTCCCATTACGTTTTTCGAAATTGATGATGGTGGTCATGAATAGCAACGAAACTATGAGCGAGACCACCCCATCCGCAATCAAGTATCGGTAAATACTGTTGTCTAGTTTACTATCCTTCTGAGCAAGAACACTACAGAGTGTCACAACTATAATCGCAATGATTATTTCAAACACGTATAGAATGAAGTTTGCCGTAATGGTAATATGGGTATCGCCGTATTTTTGCGACCCACTAATGGTTCCGACAGGAAAAGAAGCTACCGGCCTATTCATAACTTTTTTAATCAAATCATGCTCCAAATCTTTTCTTCGAGACGACAAACTCTGTAGATCAGCCTGTGGACTATACACAGACTCCGAGCCCATTTGATTCTGTTTCGCGTACTCCTCGGTAGGCATTATTGGAGGTAACTCCTTACTCATCTTGCTTGGTAACGTACTTGAGCTTGAGCATAGTGTATCGTTTGACTGGTCAATGTGAAGCGTGTGGAATGAAGGTAAACTGGGGAGGTCCAACGCCGCTTTATTGTTGTACGGAAGAAGTATTTTGCCATCCTTGTCGCTCAACGACGTGGGGTATGGCACAAATGAATCATCCACGTCATTAGTTGAGCCAAATGATGGCTTCATGTAATGTTTGTATATATCATTGAGATAACGAGGGTTTGCTGTATCGGCAGGATATTGGGGATCAGGACGAATTTCATCGTTTTTGGAGTTGGCAATCGACTCTGTATTAATAGATGTTGGAGTGGTGTTACGTGATCGGTTCCTAGGTTCACCAGTACTATAATTGAACCTTGACAAGTCGCTTATCACCCTCCGATCACCATAATACTCGTTCACCTCTTGTTTTAGCAGCCTTCGTGTCATATATCAATGTGTGATTTTATCTTCGTGTCAAGTTCAACCAGCAATACTGAGTCTAGGATTAATTATTTCTGCACCTTCTAATCACTCATCATCCCTTCGTGCCTACATGATGGTCTTGTTGCTTTATCTCCCAGGCTCGATAGCCATACCGTATTCCAAATCGGGACGTTTTCCAAACACGGCCAGTTGGCCGCATTCTCCATCAGGTAGCCCAGTCGCTGGCCCCAATGTCTTACGCGCACATTTGCGGCGTCATTTTTCCGTAATATTCATGGTTCAATCCTACACATCGCTGCATCACAATCAAAACGCTCCAAAAGGGCCCTAGTTGTTTCCACGGACTACACAAAATGCCATCTCCCCCCATATTTCCCTACCTATACGTGTTCCAATCTCTCTATTCTCGTTTCGCCTCTATCCTCATTCCATCTCTCTTAGAATTTATCTCGTCCGTGTCGGCCCCTGGCCCATCTCTTATTTGTTAAACGAAATCCCGGACTTTTCTTCTCTCATATTCTGTCCCTATTCAAAGTATACTACATCCTAGGCTCAATCTGCGGCAGTTCGATGCTCCACGGAAACGAAAAACTCCGGGTCATGAGGAGGTCCATGCTAGTTTTTGCGCACCGATAGCCAATCACAGCAACCTATTTGCAGTGAAATATTCCCGGGAATAGAATTGGCAGATGTTCCGACCATAGAAAAATTGGTAGTCGGCCAAAGTGACACAAAGCCGCAGAATAGTGAAGAAAAATGGAGCCAACGGGATGAATTAGAGCAAACTACTATTATTTATTCAACTATTCATTTATTATTAGATAGTCAATTCTATAAATATATACAAAATGTTGTCCAGAAGTATTAAAACTACTACTCGTCGCTTACCAAGTGTTTGCAAAAAGCCAGTATTGCAAACTGGGGCCAAAATTGGTAATGTCATAATGACCAGATCGATTCAAACTGAAAGCTACAAGTCCATGAGAAATGTGAACAAGATGAACACCAACATGTTGAACTTCAAGCGTTTTGCATCCCAAACTGTTAAGGTTCCAGAAATGGCCGAATCTATCACTGAAGGTACTTTATCTGAATACCTCAAAGAAGTCGGTGATTTTGTCAACCAGGACGAAACTATTGCCACAATTGAAACCGATAAGATTGATGTCGAAGTGAATGCTCCAGTGAGCGGTACTATCACCGAACGTTTAGTTGAGGTTGAAGAAAATGTGACTGTTGGCCAAGACTTGGTGAAGATCGAAGAAGGTGAAGGCCCAGCTGGCGGAGCCAAGGAAGAGTCAAAGGAAGAACCAAAGAAGGAAGAACCAAAGAAGGAAGAATCTGCTGCTCCAAAGAAGGAAGAAGCACCAAAGCCAAAGAAGGAAGAAGCCCCAAAGCCAAAGAAGGAAGAACCAAAGAAAGAAGCCAAGAAGGAAACTTCCAAGTCCGGTGAAGAAGCTACCTTCACCAACTTCTCTAGAAACGAAGAAAGAGTCAAGATGAACAGAATGCGTTTGAGAATTGCTGAACGTCTTAAGGAATCACAAAACACCAACGCTTCCTTGACCACTTTCAACGAAGTCGACATGACCAACTTGATGGAAATGAGAAAATTATACAAGGACGAGTTCTTGGAAAAGACCGGAATCAAGTTAGGTTTCATGGGTGCTTTCGCTAAGGCCTCCACTTTAGCCATGAAGGAAATCCCATCTGTTGGTGCCTCCATCGAAAACAACGATACCTTAGTCTTCAGAGACTACGCAGATATTTCTGTCGCTGTCGCCACTCCAAAGGGTTTAGTTACCCCGGTTGTCAGAAATGCCGAATCCTTATCCATCTTGGGTATCGAAAAGTCTATCTCTGACTTAGGTAGAAAGGCCAGGGATGGTAAATTAACCTTAGAAGACATGACTGGTGGTAACTTCACCATCTCTAACGGTGGCATCTTCGGTTCTTTATACGGTACCCCAATCATCAACTTGCCTCAAAGTTCTGTCTTAGGTTTACATGGTGTTAAGCAAAGACCTGTTACTGTTAACGGCCAAATTGAATCAAGACCAATGATGTACTTAGCTTTAACCTATGATCACAGAGTCTTGGATGGTCGTGAAGCTGTTATTTTCTTGAGAACAATCAAGGAATTGATTGAAGACCCAAGAAAGATGTTATTATTGCAATAGATTTTTTAATGTCTACTAACTCTACATAAATTTGCTTTTATATCGTTTGAACTCTCTACCTTTTTTTTTTTGGAGCTAATTCTCATAAATATTTCACATATCATGTTTTACTCGGTAAAACAAATATATTTTAAAAGTCATCTAATTTATACAAAACTATTTTATCATTTATTGTATGTTTGTATAGCATTGTTGGAACAATTGAAGCTATAGAAAACTTAATATGCAGCTTAATTATATATGTTTACATTTTTCCATAATAGGTAAGTCCATATTCTTCTATCATAAAATTTCGCATCAACAGTCCCTAGTCTGTTTCTGTCTATTTTTTCGGATGAAAAGATTGCTCTAAAGAAACATTGGATCCTTTTGTTTCCCTTTTCTTCTTCCTGAGACTCTGTGGTTAATTTAGATCTTAAATACCCTTCAAAAGAAAACAAACTAGTTAGTACATTAACTTGACCAAACTTGAAGTAGTCAAGCATCTGATTCATTGATAAAATGGAACCTTTTAGTAATTGGGAGGAAGTTGCTACTTCCAATCCTTCGAATAGAGTACCTTTACCTCATGAAGATTTTGATCAATATTTTACTGGATATGCCGAAGTGGACAATATGTTCAACGAAACGTTAACGGGCCTACAAGACTTGGACGTACCTTCTGGTTTTGTAAACCAAGACCTAAAACAACAACAGGACTTACAAAGTGGAAGTGGTCAGATTAAACATAGCCGGGGAATGAGTGGTACAGCCATTTTTGGGTTTGCTGAACATAACCGAGAGTTATCTATATCTGGCTTGACAGGTGATTTGTACAAGGCAGCGAAACCATCGATGGACATGGGAAAATCGATTTCTCCAGGACAATTGGTCAACTCGTTAAATGGCCAAGCAGAGCAAGTCGGTTTACCTTCAGTAGCATTGGATTTTAACTTCCCTGGTGAAATCCAAAAGCCATTACATTTTGCAGAAGAAGAAGAGTATGAATACGAACAAGCAAAAACGAATAAGAAAGATTCAAAGCAGGACTATATTGTTACAAATAAAAACCCTAAATCGTACAAATTCCCACCATCCCCTAGTCTGCCACCAGCCAAGGAACCTGAACCAGCAATCGACCCAAAACAGTTCAAATCTGTTAATCAATACTCCGTTAAGTATTTACAGGAACTTAATAAATTTAACGGCGTATCATCTCCGAAGCCAAAACAGGTAACATATGCTGATGATATTGGACCGTTATTAGAAAAAGGAGCTGAAAATGAACCCATTGTGTATACTAATCCCTCAACGGGAGAGTATACCAACCTTCCAGCATCCCATCAGTCCACTCCTTTCAATAATCATACATTATACAAGTATATCCCCATTCCAACTCAGAATCCCACATTATTCTCAAATTCAACTCAAGATCACAGAAAACTAGATCAAAAGGAATTTCCATTGAATATTAAGAATAACCCTAATGCATACTTACCACCACCATCAACACCAGGTTTAACAAATGGTTCCCCCGATTGGAATTCTTCGCCAGAACCACAATCCCCTTCTCCTAGTAGGGCTGTTTTAAACTCTTATCAGAATAATTCAAGATTCTCATCACCAATTCGTCCTCATATGAGAAACGGCAGAAATGATTTCTATACTCCACAATTTTTTTCTGATGATAATGGTAACTTAACTGATAACAATATCTTGAAAAACAATGCCCCAAGTGAACAAAGTTCTTCTCCTGTTTTTCATCAGACCCTTAATTCATCTCCAATTAAATTCTATACTAGCCCATTAAGAAATGCCCCACCAACTGAAGATGATACCATGGATGCGAATGCAACAATCACTCAATTAACTCCATTGAAAAGCCAAACTCCAATGACTCCATCAAAGAATAGAGTAACATTGGAATGGAGTCCAATAATTTCTCCAAATGCGAAATCTTCAAAAGATGTAAAGAAGGCACTTAAAGAATCTTCTCCTAAAAGAAGAGTTAAAAAGACATCTTTATTACCTCCAGGTGAACTAGATCAATATTGGGACGGCCCTGATGAACACAAGGTATTTACTTGCACCTATAAAAACTGTGGAAAGAAATTCACCAGAAGATATAATGTTAGATCTCATATTCAAACTCATCTTAGTGATAGGCCGTTTGCATGCTCGTATTGTCCAAAAAAGTTTGTAAGACAGCACGATTTGAATCGACATGTAAAAGGACATTTGGAAGCACGGTATTGCAAATGTTCATGCGGCAAAGAATTCACAAGGTTGGATGCATTAAGAAAACATAGAGCTAGAAATATATGTGTTGGTGGCATTGCAAGCCATGAAAATCACTGCATTACAAAGCCATCAAGAAAAGATAAGGTAGAAATTTTAGATGACATGACTTCCGAAAGGCTTTCTGAAGATATACAGGCTATTTTGCCTACAATAGAAAGTTCGTCGCCTGATTGATTTTTTATCGTTCAATTAATTCTGGTTTATTTCTTGCATGCATATCTGCAGCTTTTTTCAGCATAATTTTAAGATAAAGGAAATCTTGAATTCAATTCTTTTAAACTGTTTAGACGTTAGTAGTCTTTTTTAATTGTTTCTCTTTTTATGGATATATAGGTAGTTTATTTCAAATACAGGTAATATTTTTTTAAACTTTAAAAATAGGATTATTAAATCAAAAGTATTATTTAGAAATTAGTATAAGATTTATGTACGTTACTTTGCAATTAATGATTATAGGGAATCATGTGTTTCAGTTTTGATGTTATCCAGGGTATTTAATCCCTGTTGTGCAAGCTCTTCTTCTTCTTGTTTATGAATTTTTAAGTGCTGATTAAGATTGTCAGACCTGCTAAATTTTTTATGGCAAATAGAGCAATCATAGGGCTTTTCAAAAGTATGCAAAGATCTGAAATGCCTCTTCAAATGTTCCTGTCGCTTGAATCGTCTCGAACAATAATTACACAAGTAAATTTTAGTCAGGTCTACTAAATCAGCTTCTTTATTTTCCTTACGACCACGAGTCCTGTTTTTAGAATTGATAATATTAGTTGGAAAGATTTGTGTGGTCGGTGGTAAATCAAGTGACTGCAAATCAACTTCTACTTCAACTCCTTTTGACATTATAGTAGTAGTAGTAGCTGGTGGTGGCGGTGGTGGCGGTGGTGGTGCATTGTTAATGTTCGTCTGTGAGTTCTTTCTTTTCAGCATTAACTTTGATCCAAGAATACGTTTTGATGCAATGGCTAATGACGATGGGGTATTGGAACTTGAACCCAATGAGGTGCTAAGATCTGAATCACTATCACCTCCCTCAGCCTGTATATTTTTATTGTTTATGGAAGAATCATTTGAATTTATGCTATTAAGGTTACGAGGATCAATATTTTCTGGATAGCTTCCGCTTGAATTATAGTTAAGAATAGAAGACTTTTCTGTATTCGAATTCGAATTAGTATTACTTCCATTCAAACTATTGACTTCTGATTGGTCATTTTTATATCTAGGTTTGTTTCTAATATAAGTTGCTGGATTTACAATGTTTTTCCTTTTTCCAACTTTTTCAAACAAAGCACCATAGTCAGGTTCCAACATCGAGCTCCCTGGAACTGTATTTATATTATTATTAGAATTATTCAGTGTCGACGGATCTAACGCCGCTCCATTTATAACATTAGTAGAATCCAACGATGGGGTCCCATTTATTGATAAGCCATGCAAGGATGCGCTGCCCACCATATCGGTTTCCATATTTTCGTTATCGAGTTCCTTGTCTAAATTATTCTTATTATTACTTAAAGCTTCTTCAGTTTTAAAAAGATCGGTACTGCCGTCACTAGGCTCCATCTTGACTGGTGTCTTGAACCTAGTAAACAAGCTTCTTTTAGACCTCCTTGCTTTTTTTGTGGCTATATTAGATTCAATAATATCATCTTCCGGTTCTTGTTGCAGTCGATCCATATCTAGAAATTCCGAATCGTCAACAATATTATCAATATTTTTACTATTACCATTATTATTGATAGAAGATATATTTTGATTATTCAACTCTCCATTTAGTATGTCTTGTCCATTTGCATTTTCAATATTGTCTTCATTGCTATTATTATTTGCATTACTTGGCACAGCAGAACTCTTAAATATGCTTCTTATTAAATGTCTGGGCTGTTGAGCTTGTTGCGGAGGAACGTTTATAAAGGCGGATGGTTGTGGTGGAGAAAGAGACTCCGATGGCGTAGAATTATTTGATGTTCTTTGATTCCGGTCACCCATGAACGGGATATAGTTACTTATTGAGTTGGTAAAGCTTGTATATCTTCCACCTATTTGGGTTCTCTGTCGCTGGTTAATAGATGATTGTTGACTGTCGAAAGAAGTTCTAGCTTTTGAGTAAAAATCAATTGACGGACGATGTTGTTGAGACGGAGGGTGATCCAATGAGTTTCGTGTCAAATATTGATGAGCTGAAAAGAAGGATGGTTGAGTCGAATGAACAGAGCTTACTGACGGAGTTAACGATGTGGTTGTAGTAAGGGGTGATAATTCATTATAGTAACTATTTGTATTATTGATACTCAAACTTGCATTTGATATGGACCTTTTTCCTGACATATTTGACGCATTGTTGTTAAGATTATGGTTTTTATGGGAGTTGTAGTCTTTCATATCAACCAGACCTTCGGAAAATCCATCAACAGCTACATTATTTCTGAAATTATTCATACTCACAAAGGAATTTGTATGGGGCATGAAACTCTGTTGTGATGGTACCCTAGGAACGGATGTTGTATTGACAAACTCATCCTTAGAAGGTAAAACTCCAATAGCATTCGGCAAATTTCCGTTATCCTGGTTATTATCCGAATTGAACAATACATTGGACTCATTCGTAATTGCATGCTGGTCCATTAACGGATCATAATATGCATCAAAATTGACGTTAAATTGTGGCGATTCGTCTAAATCCATGTTATCATAACTCTTAAAATCCTCAAGCATGTTAAAATTCATTGTGCCGCCTCCTTCTTTTACTCCTGTTCTATCGGTTATATTAGCTTTGAAGTTATCGAATTCCTTATCTCCATTCTCAACATTAAATAAGTTTTCATATAATGGCTCGTCTGTGTCTATTCTTTGTTGATCATAATCATTCTTCGGACTATTTGGTACCACGCCATTATAGTCCTGATACATATTTGTATTCATCTGATACAGCTCTTTATTGTAATTAGCATAATCATCCATATTCTAAATTTGTATGTATGTATTATGAAATACAAAAATTAATCAATGATGTATGATATTGTAGTATTATCTATTGTTGTAATTAATAATATCATTAATTAAACGGTTATCACCAAAAATTAATTTTCAGGCTCATTTTTTTAACAGCAGAATATTTTTATCAGGTTTGTTTATTTACTACAATGCTCGTTCTATGATTTATAATACAACATATCCTATTAAATTATACATATATAATGGAGAGCTAGTCATCCTCTAACGTTCTATCACCTGATGGAACCCTTTGCCGTATACTTGTATCCTCACGGTCATTAATTGACGCAGCGTTATCTTCACGATCATTGTCCACATATTCATTTTCTTCATTTTCATCATTAATGGTCTCTAAATCAGGATTGACTACTCTTAACACTGATCTTCTTTTCGATGATACTAAGACTTGGACGTCCATCTTATCATCAACCGAAGCATCGGATTCTGAATCTTCATCATTTATATTTTCGCGTGAAGTATCAAGGTCCGTGATATTGGCTGCCTTAACGACATCAGCCTCGTCGTCACTTAATGGGCTGGTAGACACAGGTTTGTGATTCAAGGTGCTAGTGCTCTTCTTTTTCTTTATGGATCCATATTCGTGGCTGAGTACTGGGGTTGTGGGGGTGCTGGACATGGAGAAGGATTTCTTCAACTTAGAGACAGACCTATTGACTAAATTGGTCTGCAATGGGGATGGTTCTGGCTTTGTTATGATTTCATTTTCCAATTTTTCGTGATCGTGGTCGGTAGATTTAGTAAGATGAGACGAGTTACTGCTAAGTGTTTCGTTTGACGCAAGGTAGCTGTTTCGTATGGTTTTTGTTCTCTTTTCGTCAAACTGTTGTCTTTTTTTGACCCATGAATCTATTGATGCCGCATCCAAAGTAGAACTTGTATCGTTATCAAAGGGATTCGATTTCCTTCTAGCTCTCTGGTTTAATGCAGACTCCTGGTCATAATATGTACCAAATTGATAATCCATATCATTGATATCGTCGTTTGCATTTTGTTTCCGTTTTCTCTTAATGAAGAATGCCGCCGTTATAGCCATTGCGATTGCAAACACTGGTAATACGGTACCTAATACTGCTTTTTTTGTAACATCTGAACTGTCGTTGCCTGAGTCTTTTGATTCGGTGTTATCTTTAATATTTTCAATCGTTTCAAATGAATTAACGTCATACAAGCTGATTGTATACTGATCAGAGGTGTCTCTTTTGGTCACGGACCTAGTTGAGTTGATTATAACCAACGTATCAAATATAGTAACTCCACCCAAAATTTCATCGTAATCCAATCCACTATTATCAGCTGAATTCCACGTCCAGGAATTAGTGCTTGTTGACAACTTGGCAAACAACGGCGTAGAGTCGGTATCTAATAATTCTCCTCCTATTAATAAAATTTCTTTTACGTTATAAAAATTGGTGAAGGCTTCGTTGGTATTGTTCGTCAACGGGGAGAAAATAGGTAATGCTAATGGAAATCTCCTTGAATTCACTTCTGTCGACTTTTCTACATCGGAAACTTGCTTGAATGACCATCCAGACGAAAAATCCCATGTCGCCAATTGATACATATTCAACCATCCGTTATTGCTCTGGCCACCGATTACCAATTGCGTCTGTGGATTTGGTGCCAACAAGTTGGCTGCCCCGTAGAATGCCTGTGGTTTGGTAGAAGTAGTTATATTGGAAAACTTGGCCTTGTTAATATCGAAAGAAATCATTCGATTCGAAACTTCCTCACTAGACTCACAAACCCCACCATATATGTATATAATGTCGTCGTTAGGGGTACTCAAGTACGTCGAATGCTGGTAAAAAGAGGCATCCGCAATATCATCGTACCCAAGTCCCGATACTGTTTCCCATTTGTCGGCATCTCGATCATACCTGATTAAGTTCAATACGCCGTTACCACACCCATCGACACCACCGTTTGCCTCGCTAATAGCATTAAATCCATATAACTCTTCCTGGACCAACACAAGCGATGTATTGGCTGGGGGTGTGGCCAACTTTTCAACCTGCTGCCCGTTTTGCAAATTCAATTGTTTCTCCGTGTACTTGGACTCCTCCATGTTATTAAACCCCGACACAGAAAAATTCAACGACACCAAATCATTATTCTTCAAGTGCAAATAAACCTTCCCGTCACTGAATGAGTATAGCGTA